AATAGTGTTAAAATTACGTGGAATCAGGAGGACGCTTAATCATAACTCGTAGCCAGATTCGTCGCGTTATTACGTTTCCACAAACCTCAACGAGAACGTCTATTGTTCCATGAATCGTGGGACGTGCAAATCGAACAATAAAAACATTAAACGCACAGGATAATTGCATACCCGCGGTTCGTTTCCTTTGAATTTCATTTTTTAGAACAGGCTCGGAACGCTCGATGCGAATTATGCTCCGTTGAATTCGTTGAACATGAGGATCAAGGTCTTCGATTTAACAGGTAAATCGCCTACATACACGGCGATACGCATTATCGTATATTTTCATCGGGCAATAAATCTTAATGCATGTAACTTGAAGATCTCATTAGGTGTATTAACAGGTAGTAAATGATAGTGTGTTGGGTTGCCAAAAAATTAATTTCGTTTTGCAATACATTGTAACAATGCGTATTTCAAAAGTGATGTATGTTATGTTGCCTTGTGCAAAGTGTACACGTGCATTCTAACGGAAATTTATTAGAAAATATTTCAACGTTAATGTTTTGTAATGGTTTTGAATAAATCACGTTTCATAAGTAGGGCATACGTTTCACGAATTTCGTAAAAATCAAAGTTTACGTTTGGAAACGGTTTTGAAACGGAGAATTCGATCTTTAGAATATTGTCAATTGATCGGGGAGATCTTCTTAACATTAAGTATGTTTACTGATATAATGATATTAATAGGTAGATAAGAATTAATTTTCGAAGAATAAATGTATATACGTACTTAAGATGACGTATACTACTAGTATCTTTTTAATTTCTATCGGAACACGGTCAAGTACAATTTGCAACTTGCATGAAAGAAAAACAATTATATATAAATTAGAAAAAAATAATTTTCGGTACATTAATAAAATTATATGCAAAGTCTCGTATATAACTACAACAAATATTACCGAGTACGTATTTTTACAGTCAACAGAAAAGATGTGAAATTTCAAGAAATATTTTCCTTATTAAGTATTTTAAAAAATGTCATACTATAAAACTTCACGATACAGGAGTTATGCAAATTTAAATTAAGCTATGTTATTACGTGAAATTTGTGACAAATGTGCGGTTGGTAAAATATTCAAAATAAAGTAGAAATTGTAATGTTGCATCAAGGGATTTTGTGGTGTCAAATTGACGATAGTCTACTTGAGAAATGAATAACGTTTTCGAGACCTTCCAATCGACTCTCCAAACTCATCTTATACAAATGGATAAAGTCTTCGTCTCAAGGTGTTTTCGTTCCAGACGAGTGGACAGTAATTTAAAACCATATCGAACCAATCGTTGATTCGTCTCGAAGCAGAATTTTTTCTAACAAAAATTGTAACCGGAAACAAAACCACGATTAATATGAATTATTTAATAATAACGTATAATAGTTCCTAGCGTTTACAAAAGTTCAATTCTTTGCTTTACCAGTAACTAATTATTGACAGAGTCGACTATATTTTAAAGTTCAATAAACTAAATGTATCAAATTTGACGGCGAAATATAATTTAAACAAGTACATTAATTTCTTGACAATTTATTTTAATAACTTATACACGAACACAAGTGACACCATTCTTGCGACCAGACGTCACATAAAAGTTTACGTTGTGCACATTGACGTTCGGTGTGCCATAAACATTTTTCCCCGTTGAAGAAATTTTCCTGATAAGTTCGCGGTGCACGCACTTACGTACTATCAATCTTGGATTCCTAATATCAAAGAATCATGAATAAAATATTCACGCTTACTTTATAAAGATAGTACGTACACCAAGTAAAACCACTTAGGCAATTAACATTTCTTGTGGAGAATTTTGCTTTTTGCCGTCTGACGCACGCGCGATATCTAGAATTTTTCGATATATGAGAAAGATGTGCTCAATTCCTCCAGTCTAATATTTCTAATATTATATATTTTTAAATATCTATCCAGTCAATTTGTCAAATGTCACGTATATTTTAAGTCTCAAAGGTACTTGAACCCTGTAGTAAATTAAAACATAAAAAATATTTTCTTAGTCCTATTTCTCCAACATTGTATATATTTTAATTTATATGACAACTTGTAGTTAGTTACTCGATTCAATTTCTATTAACATATAATTATTACTTTTAATTTATTCGAGATAAAAAATATCCCATGCAAAATTTTGAAACAATTAGTCAATACTCAACACAAAAATATCGAAATCCACGTGGCCTAAGTCGAACTTGCATTTAAATACGAGCATCTTTGTCTACGAATAACGACAAATGTTACGTCCTTGCGTCGACGCTATTTCGTTTCGATGGATGATTTATGAAAGAATCCCGCATATACTGGATCAAACTCGACCGGTTTATCAACCGGTGGTTGACGAAATACAAGATTACGTGTGTACGTTCTTATTACCCTGACGCACAGCAAGTGCCACTCAGTTTCCGTGCTATTAGTGTGGCCTTGATGCATGAAAGTAAAATCTCGTCTCATTTAGAACAACGACGATGAAATCAAGGCGCGTATGATCGCCGTATACGTGCCCGTGATATCGCCTAGATCTATGGGATACTCTACTCCTAACGCATGGTCTACGGAGAAAAAGAAGGTCACTATGGAACTTCCGGTTTGCGAGTCTGCAGCCTAAACGATGTGCATCGATAGACACGTTTCAATAGTGTTTCAAACTATGTACTTCGTTAGAGGCACTTAAACTAGCGATAACTCCACCAATCAGAAATTCTTGAAAACCTATTATTTATCCTGTAAATATTTTCAAATAATTATTTATTATCGTTTGTATATTTAGGATCGATGTTTAAGAATAGATTTTACTTCAGTGAGAGGTACGTTCAAATTTCTATTAAAAAAACGTGAATTACAAAAATATTTAAAAACAGAACCGGGAATATGAGAAGTTAAAAAGTTTATGACGTATTATCTTGTATAAAAAAACGAGTAATTTTCGTATATAATATTTTTTTATACAAACATTCATTTCGGAGATATTTTATAAAATAGGGTTTTCACTCCCTACTTTAAGGGCTACTATTATAATTTTAATATTTTTTTTATTCTCTGTTTGCGTGCAAAGTTTCATTACTTTGAACAATATTTTAAAATTGAAAAATGTAACGATATGTAGTACAAAAAAAAAAAATAGAATATCTATTAGTAGGAAAATTTCATTGTTTCTCTAAACACTTGAGTCATGTTCACTGTTCCACGTACGGAAAGTCAACGTGTTAAGTGTTCACCTCGAACTTAGAGCCGAGAAACGGATACGAAAGAGCAAGATTCATCAATATCGATTATTCCTTGTAGTTCCAACCAGTATCGGAATTCCCGTAACCGCGTAACGACATTGTTTCGCGAATGATCCAGAACGAGCGTGATTAACGAGTTCGCATGGATCACTTACGTAGGTAGATCGAACGCGATACTCCTCCTCGCGCGGAAAGAGTAGGGACATAGGGGCTATACGTATGTCTCTTTCCAATGGAACTGGTTTCCAATGGTACTTCGGTAAACCTGAGCTCGGGGAATTCCCGATCAAAGTGGAACGAACCACTAAGGAACCAAGGGAATTCATGTGCGCATGCAGGAACCCCTAGCGGGCCCCGCGACTGTCTCGTGATGCGATCGTGACGTGGATCGCGGTGATTTACCACACGGAAACGACACCCGAGGAAAAATATCCTCCTGTTTCGGGAAAATCACGTCTTGACTGGTTGATTGCAATTACTTACGTTAGGTTATTTATAGAACCGACTGCCCGAAAGGACTTTCCTCGTTCCTGCGCCTGTGTCGACGTTAACCTCCGCTCTAATTGCTCCTTGTCTTTTACGACATTCGCAATCATCTGTATTACGGAACGAACGTTTGGTACATCTTTGTTGCTCGTATCTATGAAATCGAGATACGGTAAAACCTCGTTTATCCGAACACCTCGGGGGACAAGGCAGTTCAGATAACCGAGGTGGACCGATAATAGAGGTTCAGTGTTTATCCCTCCTACCATATTTTTAGTCATTCGGATAATCAGGGCTGATGGTCGAATAACTGAAGTTCTCTTGAGCTTAAAAAAACTTGCATGTCCAAAGATTGTGAATACGTAAAAAGTAATTAACTAGCTAATTATTTTCCTTAGTAGATTTATTATTTTTCTTAATGCAAACGATTTTCATAATTTTTAGTATTATTGTTAAGGGTTATTATTATTTTTCTGTTCTTAAAAATGATTGTTTTATGCTACTAAAACCTAATTGTTTTGTTAATTACTTCGTTTTGCAATTTAATTATGCTATATTCTATGTACATACTTATAAATGTTTTCAAATAAATCACGAACAATATGTAAAAGTGATCTACAAATTTATTAATTGTACTAAATTACGTTTTAGCTTGCATCAAATGTTAGCACCTATTATACACACATATGTATAACTGAGAATAGGCTCGACCACCGTTCGGATAATAAAAGTTCAGTCATGAGTCTGTATATCTGAGGTTCAGCAGCATTTCGTTCGGATAAACGAAGTTTCACTGTACTTGTAACAGAGTCGTGACTATTTGTCCAATGAGTCTGTAATAAAAAATTTCAACGTTTGTCGCAAACGAGGATAATTCCGATCGAGTGGATTATGCAACAGAGAGTTAAGAATCGAGAACGATTATCGGGGAGGCGTGTGACCCGGAGGGTCGTACCGAGAATCAGCACCGACACAGGAACGAATCATCGAACTAGCATCTCCGGTGTTCGAAAAGTTGGTGTACGCGATCACTGGAAGCGGAGGTGCTGGAGCGGCGAGGACGCGGTGGTGGTGGCGGCGGCGGCGGCGGCGTTGGTGGTGGCGGTGGCTGCAGCCGATGGACCACCCGAAACGAGGGTGGGGTGGGGGCACCCCTGACCCCGACATTAGCCGGCGGTGAAGGGAGGCAACGTTTATATGCGGCGGCAATCCGCCCCGTAGGCGCATTCGCTCGTACGCTTCGTCCAAAGCGGTCTTAGAGGAGTCACCTGTTGTTATCGTCAGCGTCGTCGCCGTTGTTGTTGTCGTAGCCATCGAAAAACGTCAGACTAACGGATCGAGACACCGGAGGAACACGAACGCCGAAGCTTGGAGTACAGAAGTTACCGGACAGCCAACAGAAGAGAAACATACGCTCGAGGAAGCTGTTTCCGTGGTCGGTGTTTGCCCAGCAACGTAACGTCGTATTACACCGGTGATCCTTCGTCGGTGGACTCAGCAGACGGCAGTGCAAAAGCTCCCCTGACAAACAGGACAGCCCGAAACGCGTGCACCGCGTTCAAGCTCCAAGAGTTTTCGCAAGAAGAACAACACGGCGGATATGATGGCTGTTGCAGCGGCGCAAAAGAACCGCGAAATGTTCGCTATCAAGAAGTCCTACAGCATCGAGGTGAGTACTTTATCGTTCAGTGTCCACGAATGTTACAACAGTTTTTAAATCGTAGGATCGTGCTAAAATAATTTCGTTGCCCGTTCGATCTTGGAACAGTTGGAAGATCCCTGAACTTAGTCATCCTTTTATAGTTTTATTTCATTTAACCACTATCAAATAACACTTGCTAGATTTTAATACTTCAGAGATCTTATTAAACCACAGTTGTGAAATTCAAGTTACACGAGATAGTCTTCCTTTAAACAGATGACACTCGCTAATTTTTCTAAATTTACTATAATTATCTCGGGGATATCGTTGAACTTGTTTAGCTATAGTTTCGTAGACAATTGCGTCGGGAGACGCGAGGTGTTAATCCGCGATAGGGAAACGCGAGAAAGCGCGGGAACTTTGCCGCGCGTTCGAATTGCCAGAATTCTCGCACGTGACGTCGCCATTGCGAATATTCTTCCATGCGTGCAATTATTTCGCTTTCCCCGCTTATTATTAATAACGCGTTACACGACAGCTTTCAAACGCGATCCCTCGGCGTCGGCTGCGAACAAAAATCTCCGCAGATTTCAAACTTTTATCGTTATCGAATGCACGCAAGTGAGACATTTGTGACGTTACACGCAACGAATGCCCGAGTCCCGTTTGTTTTTTAAGCATTGGTTAATATCAGTAGCACGTGGTCGAAAGATGCGTTGTTGTCAGTATGTCGCGAGAAGTAGGTTTCGAAGAGCATCCTCGGAACTTTCTTACACGGAAGAATTCCCCGTCTTGCTTGCCTACGTGACTTTCGTGATAAATATCCGGTATATTTCGTAACAGGTGTAAAAAAAATTACATCTCGCGCTCACGAGCGCTTCGAGTGAAATTCACGAGCTGGAAATGAAGAAGAGACCCGGTATAGAGAAAGTACACGCGATCGGTTATTATCGTGGTTGCGTAATGTTAAATGACCTTGCCGTTACATCGTTTCGCATTGTAGTTCACGTGACCGTTTTGCGAGACGAAAGTTTTCGAGAGCTTCTCGTCGACGTTGAGAAGTTTCAATGAAAAACAATAAAATCCAAGCAACAGAACGCACTGTGACTCGGCGGTGGAAAATCCTGCGACAAGATAGACGCGATCGAGGACAAACGCGCGCGAAAAAATACATTCCAAGGAGAAAGACAGATCGGTCCTGATTTAAGAGAAATTTCCTACCACCAGAATCGAGCAATTTTTTTCTAAATTTCGAGACTCATGAAGAGTGACTTGGACTTTTCGTAAGTTTTTAACAGTTACTTCGACGTCGAGCCTCGAAACTTTCGAGACGAATTCTTATTTTTGAATCGCCCACGGAAGGTCAATAGCTCGTCTCTTTTCGCGGTACGTTTATTAGGCCACGCAATAATGGCTCTCGATCGACGCGTCCTCGAAATAGTAATTGTTTTCTTTCTCATTCACAACGCTCGCGGGAGCTCCGCCTTCGTAACAGGTTCCTTCGCGGCATTAGAATCGCAAGGACGTGTCCCTGTGTTTTTTCACGCGTAACCGGCGTTTTAAAAATCGCACGGTAAAACGGTTTAATTGGCATCCCCGCAAGGACCGTCGGGGAACTTTTTCATTCATGCAATCTCTGATGCGACGCGCGCGGCGACTTGACATTTATTAAAAGATTACGACAGTGTTACGAGCTGAAAAAGAAGATAAACACTTCGAAATATTTTTTTGAAGTCGAGCAAGATGTTGAATTTTTATTCTCAAAATTGTCGCACTGATTATTGCGACAATAATAACAATCATGATGATCGCATTTAAATTCTAAAACAATGTTGACAACATGTAACTGCCTTTAAGACAAATAGAAATTTATTTACAATATTGTTAATTATTTATATTCGTTATAATTAAATTTAATTATGTCATCTTTATATCGTTAAACTTTTATTGAATAATTTTCTTCACTCAGATGATGATACGAATTCGATTGGAAAAATTACATATATAAATTCTTATTTTTTATAATATGAAGAGACGGGGCTAACACTTTTTGTTCAACAATGTTTCACTGTACAACGAGTCACCGTAATAACGTCTATTCTTTTCACTTTCCCCATACATTAGTGCACAAATGAGAGCTTCTCTGTTTAACACCTTCTTGCAACGGATGACGTTGATCGACTGTCAGTCGCTAGTATGCGCAACACATACGAGTATGTCTCCTACTCGACGAGAACAAAACATCAATAGTGATCGACTCGAGATGGTCAATATTCTTGTCTGAATAAAAATATCGAATAACTGGCAAAAGATAAATTTATTTGATATTCGTCAAATAAAACTTAGACGTGCCATAATAACCATAATCTTTTTACTAATGCTGTTGAACACAAGCACTTAATCTGGTTAAAAAGTTCCTTTAAACAGCCTTATATATTCTATGATTAAATTAACAGAGGCAATTACCTCGCAATACTTTTCAATACATGTTGAGTATTATTTAGCAGAATTAAACTAAAAAAAGTTATTATAACAAATTTGTACGCCATAAGTGTGTCAATTAATATATTTATGAAAATGTTATTTTGTTTAAATAATTATTTCCTTAGAACAAAGTAGGAACGTATTGCAACGTATGTATCTCTGTTCATTCCTTTATTAGAGAACACAGAGGAACTCTTCAAGATTTGTTTCAGAAACTATAAAACATTTTTGCAAATAAAGAATGCACATTAGAAAAATTCGAAATATAAAATAGGTAACCAACGTTGCTCATTGAAATACTCTGAATAATACAGATCTTCTTAATAGTTATAAACTGATTTTACATCGTATTCAAAGCTCATCACGATCACGATACTTTCTTTCCTTATAGATCGTAATGTAGAAATTCAACAAATCGATAAGTACAATTTTGAACGTTCTAATGTAAGTTTGTTTCCATAAATATCATGCATAGAAATTTTTCTTTATTTAAAAAATTAAAAAATCGCTGCCTCACGGAGCAAAGTACGTCGGTGAGCGTTCAGCTTATGTCGCGGCGACGGATACTCGCGATTAGTTCCTCCTTCGCGAATAGAAAGGAGCTAGGCGAAGCGCGCGCGACTTTCCGGGAACGAAAAACCCGAATCTTCGCTCGACGACGTGGAATTTCTCAGTTGCGCGTTTCACTGGCGAGAAGCAAAAAGATGCGTGCCCGTCGCGTTCCTGGCTGTTAATCCGTTACTTTCTCCGCATGTCACGAATTCTATGGGCCCGGTGCTTATGGGCCCAAAGTATATTGACGCGCAGTAATTGGGTAAAGTTCGGCCTCGCGACCAGCTGATGAAATTTTGAAAACTCTTGAATCACGCGGCTTCACGAAAACTCCACGGTTTACATAAAAAACGTCTTGGCTGGAAACATTGCTCGCGCAAGACTTGGCACGTCTCTGGCCTCGTATAAGGCAAAGGTTCTGTAATTGTTCATGTACCACTAAGGTAACAATTTGCAATGTAAAGCTTGAAAATAACGTTCCTAGCAGCGATCAACTTAAAACAAATACAACCTAATCGTATCTTTAATCGTGCTTGCCTAACTCGTTTTCTTGTTTCAAAAGTATCGGTGTACTGGTACGATGTGAATTACCATTTAATGTTCAGAATTTTTTTATAAAAAGCTATTACACTGCCGAACAAGACGGATTTATATCGTATCGTGAACATCGCTCGGGGCTATTCTTTTTGTTTTAGTTCCTTGTTGTAGATACGCGGTTTCTGGTATGTTATTGAAAAATCGTGATTCAGGCACGGCCAATGAAACGCCTCTGTTTGTTCACAATGAAACGTTCGTAGATCCGCTCGTGTATTTTCTGTGTAACCACAATGGTAACCGACTGTTAACTCTGAGTCACTCGAACGGAACTCGCGCGCGCGCGCCGGATCTAGATACTGAATCGGATCCAGAATCCGCTACTAGCGTACACGTTCGATCCTTATCAAGTGTGTTCGCGCAAGAGTAACGAGGGATGAAAAATTACCCGACCTTGATCTCGTTCGCTACTTCTACCCTTCTTATAAATATTGCCATTGTTGCTCGATGTAAATTAATTAATAAGGGATCTCTGGTCTTCTTCGACAATGTGATATCGCGTAACAAAAGCGTATAAAAAGTATGTTTATATCTAATGAACGAGTATGATAAAACAAATACGGGCATGGATGATAATATTATGTCGATATAAAAAAATCAATGTCAAAGAGAATGAAAGTATGTAACTAAAAAGTAATATTTTTTTATTCCGTGAGGGAAAGCACGAATGAAATAAACACAATGTTACTGATAGATAGAGCTGGAACTATTCGAACGTTTCTACCCTTTTAAGTATATAAATATAGGTATTCGATTTCTACGAATAAACTTCGAATATCGCTGTTTGATTACTATTATTCCTACTACTTTACATTTACGAAAAAAAGTTGCTTACAGTCGAAAAATAAAAATACGTTTCTCCTTTATCAAAATATTTTCAATAGAGTATCGTTAATAAAATATCTTAAGTAAAAATTGAATATTCGAAAAGAGAAAAATGGAATAAGTAGTCTCAACCCCAAGAGGGTCCCGATGACATGTGCCTGAAAACTGTTCAAGATTAGGTAAACAATTTCTGCGTGTGAAACGCTGAGGATACCCTGTCGCGTTTAATCTGCTCGAGGGACGTGATAACTCGGTCAATTAAAGAATGTGCATAAGTTAATATCTTGGCAACACATAGATTCGTTAAAAAAACGCGTAATTAGTACTAAACACCATCGACGGGAGGTGGTTACGTTAGTAGAGTAGTCATATCGCGTTGCAAAATCAAACGACCTCGGCTCCCGCATGATAATTATGAATATGTTATAAATATGAGAACGAAGTGATTGTAATTCCAATGGCCGAGAGGCGCGGAGAGGCCCTGAACACTGTTCCGAACCCCGTTATTCGCCTTTGGAGGCTCGCCACACGCACGACAACGCCTCTAACCGCTTATAGACGACTTCGATGGTCAATCGTGTGAACACACGATGCATTACGTATACATCGACTATGTTAATTATTCTATTTAAATATCGTGTTTTGCCCGAACCGCCGCATCGATTCCTATCTGACCGAGAGGAAAATTATATTAATGCACCAGATGCATTATGTATGTACACTGATCGCATAACAATCTGTAGCAGTCGCCGTCCTACAACTCCTTTTTTTTTCTTGCCTCCGATTATCACCTTAATAACATTTACCAATAAAGATTTTAATCGAACATCGATGCGTTCCCTTCTAAGCGAATACTCGATTCTCTGATTCAAGGGGAATTTCTAACGTCGATTCGCGCACGTTGCGCTATCTAATCGACCTTGTGATTCTGAACTTGTGTCGCGAATGTCGAATAACTCGTTTCGTTACCCAACCGGCGCGACGGCCGCGGTATCCACTGTGTTTGTAGGTGATTGGTCGCGGAGCACGCATACATGATATAAGTAATAACGTTAAATGACTATGATTTTAATGGCGAAATAATTATCGGCCTTGGGTACATTTGTCACGGATCGTTACGTCGTTTTATCGATAAAAAATCTCAGCGAATATCTCGATCAAGCGCGTAGTTTGCACATGATTCGCCCGAGACGTTGAATAAGTATCTTGAGCAACATTAATAAGGCTATCGATGCATCTACTAGCAGAACCGAGATGAAACATTGTAAGTTTTAATATTTGCTCTTCACGATCAACACCAAAGAGATTTAATTAATTTTTGTTTACTTATTCTGTAATTCATCGTTCAACTCTGATCATTGATTTCTTGACTCATCAGTCGTCATAATTTCGCTTTTTGTATATTCCAAATTCCAAGAGTCGACTTCCTTGTTCGACAACATTCAGTCTTTTTTTTATCGTGTTTAACAAAGTCCATTATCGAAACTAGCAGTATTTTACCAAACGCAGCTCTATAATTACGTGACTAAGGATAATTAATCAGGTGACAAGTCAAAGACGAATCTTATCCCTGAAGGATCAAACCGCCGGGCAAAGTCGAGCATTCTTTCACCGTCTTAATTTATAAATCGACATCAGTTTCAATCTTTCTACGGGATAATCGGTCCGTGATGCAATCATCCGTGCAAAGTCATCGGTCATATATCCGTTCCATTGGCGGAGTACTTGGCCCACTTTGGCGATACGCGTTGTTAAGGGATTACTACACGTTTTCTCTAAACCGTGTCAACCACTTGGAAAATGTAACTGGGTCCCACATTGTGTGCTATTCATGAAAAAGCGGTCGTTAACAATTTGAATGACAGCCGATGCATCTCCTCTTGCGTCAAGCTGTTGCGCTGCGAGATTTCTAATGAGCTTCCCCGCGATCGAGTAGTTTCTGTTCCGATTCAGATGTTTTATCGTTTGCTATATTTTATAGAGTCTCGCGCCTGCTAATATAATAAAAAAAACTCTTTTCTGTATAATAAACAATATTTTTTATATAAAGAGCAATATAAAGAAAACTTATCTGCCAGATACTGCATAATTCTAATCGTATCGGGATTTAACGTAGAGTCACGTACCAAGTTTGACTAATTGTATTTTTAAGTAAATTACATACTAACAACGTTTTATGTTAAGTTATAAAATACATAAAATGTCATTATTACATAAATCTATTTATAGACTCCAAAGTTAGTTGAGCTGAAAACATCGATCGTTTGAACTAGAACTTGATTAGCGTTCAAACGAAAAAAAAAATAAATCTATTTACGGACTCTAAAGTTACTCGAGCTTAGTATGCGTTCCAAAGTTACATTCCATTTGAACAGTCTTAGTTTGAACTAATTTGAACTAGTGTTCAAACAAGAATAAACATAAATATAAGAGTGAGACATAGGCTAAATAGCTCAGATAACTCACCCTATGTAATGGTTTGCTGTCATTTGCCCTTGTCCGTTCAAAAAGCGCATGTCGGAATCTTGCATTACACACTGGACTCACTGATGCACAATTTTCTTTGTCAATTGGGGATGCTTTGTGCTGCTTCTGACAGAAGTCTCCAATTTCCGATCCTTCAACGGCAACCGGAAGCGTGCGACGAAAATTCATTTCCGTGCGTTCGGTTCGTTATAAAAGTTCTACCGGATGCTTTTTGGTAGCCAGTTAGGTCAATTTTGGCTCGTCGCAAAGATCGACTTTGGTATATTGTGTAGTTTCACAATTTAGTATAGATCTCTGTGATGGTAAAACGATAGATTCGAGTTCTTTTTGATAGCATTTCATACATTATTCCAAATATTTTATTATCATGGAATATAAAATGTCAAGTTATCTTTCACATGTTTTAAACATTCGATTGTTCAGATCATTCGATTGATAATTATAAAATTATTCGAACGTTCTCATCCATGTTCGAAAAGTTTTATTCATAGTAGATAGTTAAAGTATTGCACGGAACTAACAAATCTGCGTTTTACAACCTCACTACTGACTCCACCATAAGTAGACCACACCATTTAAAGACCTGTTCTAAGTTTCTGAACCATACATAGCGAGTCTTCGTTAATTTAGAGAATAAGGTTGACGATTCAGCGAAATATTGAAATGCTGGTTTGTCTGTTTAGAATGGGTATCCATCACGACGACGATCTCTCGTGGATGACGCCCGTTTTGAAACGTTGGTTGTGAAACAAACAAAGCAAAGCGTTTTGGAGGAAGCTCGGCAACGAGCGAATGGTAAGTAACAATTCACTATTTTAGATGTGATTGTTTCATTGATATTTTCAATCGACGTTAGCGTTCGATGTTTCTTTGCATTGCATGTACTTTAACACGTCGAAATGTCGCTTCTAGATATAGTTAGTTTTTCTTGTAAATCCAATCAGGCACGTTAATATCGGTGTATATGTATTATTGATGTTGCACGATAATTGTTTTTTTATTAGACTCACAAGCCGATCAGACACTTTGCTCTCAGGATCATTTGAAACACGAAACAGAACTAGTTTCGTCCAGTGACGACGAACAATTGGAAACATTGGCTTGCGCTGCCAAGGATGGAGGTTTGTACTTGCTTCGAAAATTTTCTTACGCTGATATTTTTATCAACGAAGACGTCGATACATGAAGAAGTTACGCTTATTAAAACAAATACTCAAACACATAATACAAATTTGAGTTATTGATTCCTGTAAACAAATTGTTACAAGATAAAATTGGTCCCCTTTCAAGAACAAAAGTAAATTCATGTCACATAATTGTGTTAGATTGAGTTTCTACATTGTTTTTAATATGGACCATCAAATAATGGTTAACATAAAATACTAATGGCGTGACTTTTAAATTTACATTTCCGTTAATGTATCGCGTCTTCTTGTCCAGAAATCAGTAGTGCAATAGAGTTTTGGTTGTTGCATTTGGCATGAGCACGCAATTTGTCTTTGACTTGCAGAAGCGAAAGCAGAAATTTCATCGGACAGTGATGGCAAAGCAGATGATGATTATGATAATGGTAAGTGTGATCGCTCTCTTTCGATATAAGTGAGAAATCAGGTTAAATCGTAAATTTTTGCGTCGAGAACCAGGGCGACGGAAATCCTCGATGATGCAGGCCATCAGTAGGGTTCATGGAATAGAGATGGAGTAAATGGAGAGTGAAACAACCCCTATTGTAGAGGCTATATGTCTGACCAAGTGCTTTTCTGACAATTGGCTGAATTACGCGAAAGATCTTTTTCCTTTTCCCAAAGATCTCTGCCTTTTCTTTTCTCGCCCTTTCGACGCCTTTCTCAATCCACTTTGCGCATTCGGAATCGTATTAACTGGAGACCCCTTTCCCCAGTTCTCGGACGTCTTCGTACGTTCGCGATAAATATATAACACGGTTATTCCTTTTTTGCCTTGTTCGTCTTTGCTCGCGGACCTGGCACGTCCGTGGGCGACGATAAAAGGTATTTCATTCTTTCTCTGCCACCTCGGTTGCGCTGCAGTCCATACAAAGGTGCCCGGGAATAGACATTTCGCGGAAATGGACTTTGAATTGCTCGATTATTAACGTCCACTGAAATCACTTAGCACTTCGAAATGTCGCCTGAGAACGTGGAAAGAATACTTAAGAAGCTCACGACGTTCTTTCTTTGGTCTTATTTTCTGGACAATCAGGGCACGTTAAGTGCATTAATAGTTAAAAATGAAATAGAATGAAAGCAAAATCTTCTTTTCCTCTTTGATTACTTCGTAACAGTAATAAGCAGCCAATTGAAATTAGTTGATATTTAGAATAGTAACAAATACAGTAGGAGATAAATGTAAAAAATGTCATAATAGAACAAAGTGTTGTATTTATTAGATAGGAGTCTGTTTTCCTTTTACTTAAATTATTATGACATATTACATAACATATTTATTTATAAAAACGTTGTCTGTTTTCCTAAAGAATGTCCAATCCAACCATTTTAGCTAAATGTGTATTTCTAGAGAGAAAAATAGGCATACATCGTATAACACTTTGGACACTACTGGACATTATCTTCAGCCTATAAATTAAAATAGCGTTATAAATAAAAGAAAAAATTCACATTTCCCAGCAATATAATACACCTGACTAGTTTGATTATTCGATAATTACGAAAAATTACAAATTCTATTAATACTTTAACTTCTTTCAGACTCTGGATTAACCGAGGAGGAAGTGGTGCTAGCAAAGACCATAGCTGAGAGCCCCGAAAGCGAGCACACTGTGCAAAAGGCAGCGCTGATTCTGCGCCTACGCGAAGGAATCGGTTCCCTAGCGAGGATCCTGAAGACGATCGAGAACTTTAAGGGCACGGTGACCCACGTAGAGTCCCGTCCCTCTAGGAAAGAGGGCCTCCAGTTCGACGTCCTCGTTAAGGTCGACATGACCAAACACAGCTTGTTGCAATTGATCCGAAATCTGCGTCAAAGCGCCGCGTTGGACGGCGTCACTTTGCTCGCGGACAATTCTGTTAGCATTAAGGATCCCTGGTTTCCCCGTCACGCTTCCGATCTTGACAACTGCAACCATTTGATGACCAAATACGAGCCGGATCTGGACATGAATCATCCCGGTTTCGCCGACAAAGAATACCGCGCGCGCAGGAAGGTGATCGCCGAAATCGCGTTCGCCTACAAGTACGGAGACCCGATTCCCAGCATTCCTTACACCGAAACGGAGAACGAGACCTGGTCCCGCGTGTTCAAGACCGTCGAGGACCTGGTCCCCAAGCACGCCTGCGTCGAGTATCAGCGAGTATTCAAGAAACTGCAAGAGGAGAAGATTTTCGAAGTCCATCGCATACCGCAGTTGCAAGAGGTCGGCGATTTCTTGAAGAAGAATACCGGATTCACTCTGCGACCCGCAGCTGGACTGCTCACTGCCAGAGACTTCTTGTCGAGTCTCGCTTTCAGAGTGTTCCAGAGTACCCAATATGTTCGTCATATCAACAGTCCGTACCACACGCCGGAACCGTAAGTATTTTAATTTCTACCGTTTAAACGCGTTACAAAAGAGTTCTGTAACCTCTCAATTATTTTCAGTATTTTATTTCTTTAAGAAGGCGCCCCCTTTAATTTTTATAGAAGCAACCCGTATTTATATATGTATAGGGGACAAAAACAAAATTTCATGTTGATAGTATTCTTTGGAAAAACAGAGAAAGTTCGTTTTTGAGAAAACAAACTATAGAGAACATTATTTTACTAAATATGTCTCTCTTGGTTGTGAATTGTCTAGTTGTTTTGGTTTGAATATTGTTAACGACAAAATGTTGTGGTAACACTGGTTTTAATATGAAATAAAATAAACGAAAAACTAGGTAGTATATGCAGAATTCAGTGTTTTTGTTCGAATCTGTGTTGTAATTGGTGTTCGAAGGATTCGTAGCAAGCGACATAGGACAATCGATATTGCGTTATGACGAGAGCAGACTCTCGTTACACAGAGTACGATGATAATAGAGTTACTCTGCCCCTCTAAGCTCGTAATGGAGCTCTAATTGGCTTTTAACGACACGATGGCGTTGATAATTCAGTTTCACAGTTGCGAACTCATTCCTCCACGGAAGTGGCTTCCGTGTCCAACAGATTTTGAGAACAATTAAAAGTATTTTGCGCGAAAAATTAATTGATACGGTTCAAACTAAACGATCACCGTAGCAAGGAAAATCTTTCAATTTTGTTATATATCGTATTAACCGAATTTACTGTTCCTTCTTCATGCATTGGAAGCCAACGTTCCTTATTTTTATTCTTCCTATATTTTTGAAGCTTCATTACGAGGCAGTATTTCCAAAAAAACAATGTAACTATATTACTGTGATTAGCATAGAAATGAAAGTTGTTCATTTATTCTAGTTTCACGCCAACATTCGACCTTGCCATTTGCCTTATTCTCGTGAACTTGAATAAATGACCACTTTACAGTGCAAAGTCATGAGTTTAATTTAATTCCTTGTTTCTCTCGGTTACAGAGATTGCATCCACGAATTGTTAGGACATATGCCGTTGTTGGCCGATCCAAGCTTCGCTCAATTCTCTCAAGAGATCGGGTTGGCTTCGCTGGGTGCTTCTGACGAGGAAATCGAGAAGTTGTCGACCATCTACTGGTTCACAGTCGAATTCGGTCTGTGCAAGGAAGGTCAAGAGGTGAAAGCTTACGGCGCTGGACTTTTGTCAGCTTACGGAGAACTGCTCCATTCGTTGAGTGACAAATGCGAGCACCGACCGTTCGAGCCGATGACCACAGCTGTTCAGAAGTATCAAGATCAAGAATACCAGCCGATATATTACGTCGCGGAGAGCTTCGAGGACGCCAAAGAGAAGTTCCGTCGCTGGGTAAGTACAGTTCGATATTGGAGACTTTAACGCCAGATGTACCGCGCACTACCGCCATTACCGTTTCTACGCCAATCGTCACGGGAACTTTTAAGAGGAAAACTATAAACTATTTAATTTGTCCATATTAATACGGTTAATAGATCTTTTAGAAAACAATTGTATAAAGAAATTTACTGAAATATTAATACGATTACTGAGAAAAAATGGAAATAGAAAAATGAAATTTATTTTTTGTTTGCGAAAAAGTAAATGAATTTACCTAATTTACAAACCCTAAAAATTGGGTATATATTTGAGTTACTATTAATAGAAAATTATTGGACACAGCAATTTCAAACTTTGAATATACATTTATTTATATTTTTCTAAGTTATACGAAGTTTCTCGATTATATATAAATAATTATATCAATATATCGATGATCTAGCTTTTGTCCTAATAACAGGAACAAATGTCAAAAAAATTGTTATCGTGCACGAATGCGGCTATTATCTGTACCATACTAAGTAGAAATGTTTGTAAACTCAAAAAATGATAGTACCTAAAATACAAAAATTCCTTCTTATTAAATTTTTTAGCCCTTGCAAGCAGTAACGATATCGCGTTAATTTTGGTTCGAACAATTTAACTATATAAACCAGTTTGAGAAAGAATTTATTATGACTGAAAACTGAAGTTTTAAACGTAACTTTGTTGCATATCGATTCGTTAAGTCCGATAACTTGGACGACTGTCGTTAACACCGGTTTACGTCACTCTGTAAATTACCTTCATTACACGTTCGCTCGGATAAAGATTATCAAGGACGATCTTAATGATTTCTTCGTTTCTCCTTTCAGGTGTCTACCATGAGCCGACCTTTCGAGGTGAGGTATGACCCGCACACGCAACGAGTCGAAGTTCTCGACACCGTCGACAGGCTGGAGAATCTCGTGTCTCAGCTGAATACCGAAATGACCCATCTTACGAACGCCATCAACAAAATTAAGAAGTCCTTCGCGTAAGAACGAGGAGGATCCATCTCCGTGACACGATACGGTTATTCCTTTCGCGAAGCATCTTGCTCGGTTCTCGACGTTTTCTCGGTACGCTCGAATCGAGACTTTTCAATTGGTTCCACTTTCGCGCGTTCCCGCCATTAATGATAATTTAAAAACGGAGAAGAAGAACAGGCTCGAAATATCGGCAGGACTGTCGCGCGAAAAGACGAGTCACAAATATTTATCCGAAAATACGTCGAGGTTTACGTAGGCCCGGTGATTGCGCGTCACTTCATCTTTATCATTCCTCGTTTGCATCGAATCGTTCTCACTGTGTGTATAAAGTCGTCCATTCGTGTAGTCGCGCGCATGCGCAAGCTAAGCAAAATGTCCGTTCGAAGCGGACTCGGGGCGTATGCGTGCGCGGACCAAATCGATCGCTCGTATTTCGCGTGATGCGAGCACGTAATAAGTTAATTCTGCTCCTCGTTTTATTTATTGAATTTTGCGTTCTCGAACGTCCGCACACGCACGACATTTACTTTTTAAACAAATAAAAATCGATTATCGGAGATTCTCTGCGCGTCCAAGGTATTATATCGCGCTCAACAATTGCGTCAGGGTTATCTTCTTTCATTGGAAACGAATCGTGCGACCTGCACCGCTTTGAACGAAAACGCACCGCGCATGTACGCGTATTTTTTTTACGTTGTACGTATCGTATTACATTTTTATTCTATTGCACTACATATTGTTATCATTAGTTTAGATGTAGAGTAGTTTTGTGATTGCGTACCAATTTGCTGCACGTAGGCAAACGATGACACTCCACCGCGATAGAACGTTACCTGTGTGTCGTGTTCACTTAGATCAGCTGTATAGTGAGACGGCTAGTATTACAAGGCAATGTATGTAGATTATTCTCGATAAGTATTGTATTAACGAAACCCGTGTTCTTTGGGAAACACGCTCGTCTTTGACGAACGAAAGAATTTAATTATTTTACAGAATTACTTTACACTTTCTGGTTTCAATCTCGCGTACGATAACAGAAGTAGAGACAAGAGGCTCGCGTAGTTTCCCGAGAGATTTGTTAGTATTCACGAAAAGCTTCGATAAGGAAGTGACAAAGTGTCGCATTAGAGACGCACTGTCTACACTGGCGTGTAGCGAGAGTCCTTGCTTGTGCACCCTGCACTCTTCCCGTAGCTAACTCGTACCAAATACATTCCTGCGTTCACGTTAATGCACGCGCCATTTTTTGCGCTTATTTGTAGAAACGGTCGGCGCGTACCCTAGATTTCCTTTGTATTATATTGTAAAGTACTCAAAGCATAATAAAAATCCAAGATATGAATCTTACAAGTTGCATTCGTTTACACTTCCCGTTCAAACATTATTTTATATAAAGAAACACAGCATATTTGGAATACTTGTTTAAAGTGAATACAAAATTACCTGAAAATATGAGAACGATCAAAATATTTGAAGTAAAATATTTCCTAAAATAATAGTTTTTGTAGACGATGTACGATATTTTTTTTAATATAACCGACAGTTTAAAAAATAGTTCAGTTTTAGATCACTCGCGCAATATGGCAATATAAGAAATCATAATGTTGATTAATATTATGTACGAATTTGTATTATCAGTTGCGATTGAATAAGATTATATCTAATCGTACACTACACACTATGTGTTTAGCGTATAATACAAATTTCGATATTGTAAAGCCATTCCGTTAGTGCCCTGAAGGCAATGGGGCCCTAAGGCCTTTAACGACACTAATAAAGTAAGTGACCCACCGTCTTGGGTGCAAAAATCAGAAGTAACAGCGCACCAATCAGAAAAAAGAAATCTTCTGATTGGCTGGCGGCTGACACTTCAAGTTACATTTAAGCCGCCGTATTTTGTAATTTTGGCCAGACGTACAACAGACGTAATTTGGACGTAATTGGAACTTTGGCAGCACAGAACGTGCAACGCTGGTCCTTCGAGTAAAGTCGGCACTTGACGTGCAAGCTCACCAAAAGCTTCAAGATCTTACGATCACCACAAGCCCCAACACTCTGCATACATGATTATATCTGAATTTGTATAAGTAGATATGTAATTATATAATACTTGTACTTGCATCGTAATATATTTTATTACTGTTAGGGAATAATCTTCCTATAAGTTGGCGGATGCATGAGTGTATTTTGTACTTGTAATTCCTGTTGTTGGCAACGGGGTGTATGTATGTATGTATGTATGACGGAAGAGTAGAGGAGTCGAAAGTGGCGTAAAACGTAAAAATAAAAATGGTGAATAAGTATTAAAAAGAATCCAGATGAATTAGAAGAATATTACTTATGAGACAATCGATAAGTAGTCGATACCGGAATCGCGAGCCAAGATCCGCCAGTGGGGAGAATCCCCTCCTCTGAGATACGAATCCACGAACAACGCGAAATTCGGCAGCCGCGATCAGGAAGATTAACGAGCGATACGAAAGAGGGAGAGACGAGTGAGACTTCAATTTATTATTATCTTATATTTTTTTAACTTATAATAAACTAACATCTAATCTTGTAACACTTAAACTGTTTATTTTTGTTAATCACGTTATTCGGTTTAATAAAGTATTATTTATGTTTATCAAAGATAACAATGAAATCAGAACTATATTAGAACCACGTGCCAGCGCAACAGATTATGGGCCCAGAGACACGCTCTGCTACATGAGATATAGAACGTAACTAATAAGAATCGTGGAAAAGAAAAAATAAAAACTAATAAAAATAAATAAAAAAATTAAAAAACGAGCTGCAGTCATGGAAAATTTGTATTTAATAAGGAGATGTGTCTTTCAAATTTGCCAAAAGTGTAACAAAATATATGCAAAGTATATTCAAAAATAATTTATAATGACTCTTTAAAATAAAGAAGCGTTGTATACTCTGTGTTTAACATTAGTCGTTCTCACGTACTTTAGTTTTCAAATTTTTAATATCCTCATGTATTTCGAAACTTATTACATGATAAAGCAATTGGCACTTTAAAAAATCTCTTGCATGGCAAGTGGAAGAGCAAGATGACTTTATGAATTCACATGCGAAGCCCAACAACTAAACTAACAATAAGATTGAGAGTCCACTTAAGGGGGGAGTCCCATATGAGACCTCAAAAATATCAATTTTTTTTTTTATTCATTTTTTGAAAGTATTAATCTTTAAGAATGTTAAATTTTAAGAGATAAATGTCAAGTATTGTGGATTGTAGAACATTTTTTGTATAGTCCTCGCGGTAATTACCGAAGTCATTGCTTCGGGTGATTACCATGTACAGCCCAGACATTATTGTTTCGAAAGGTTTACGACAGGGTCAAGAGACATCTGCTGTTATTAAAAGTTGAAATTTGAGCGTTTTTGTCATCTAGGTGGCAATATTCTGGAAGGAATTCTATATGGAGCTGAGATTGATGAGTATGATCTTGCAGACTTTAAATGCGTTTCTCTCGAAACGTTACTTTCTTAACTGCCGTAGATAAAATCTCAAAAACTATACCTTCGATTGCTTTGAAATTTTTACCCGTTATTCCACATACTAACAGTTCTCGCCCGTATCAAAATCAAATTGTTATAATGAGTTTATCATATCTTTTTTATTAAAAAGTTGCAAAAGAAACGACGAAATTTTGCAATTTTTACTTTAAGCTTTTACCATTTTGTCAATTTGCAACATAGATTAATTATTTTGGTACGGGCGATAACTGTAAACCTACAGAATAAAAATCTTTTTGACTTTTTTGATTTAGTCAACCTTGGTAGAGCTGCAACATCTACGCCAGTGTTTAAACACATGTTTACTGCGGACGTGATAACAACATTAAAAGTTAATAAAAATTAATAAAAAAATTACCTTGTATTCCCAAAGGATATCTAAGTAAACTGCAAAAAAGAATCATACCGTCAGATGTAACATTTCCTTAAAAAAAATTAAAAAAAAATGGTTCAATTTTCTATCATTCACATGAGACTCCTCCCTTAAGGATTAGAGATCATTTGTTACAAGTGTTAGAAAGAAAGGTTCTAAGCTTGAAATGCCGGCCACCAATGATCACCGTGGCAATCAACGTGTTAAAGAAGATGAGAAAGAAGTAATCGTGGATCTTCCACTTTGTATTTTCGATTTTTATCGGTCGATCGAGTTGAAGTGAAATGTGAAGGTCCTCGGGGCGAATGTCGCGTCGATGAGCCTCGCTGCTACCTTCAATTAGGTCTTTGCACTCGGAGACATCATGATATCATGACAATTCCCACGTAAAATCGAGAACAAGCCGACGGATGGGTGCTCGCGTCCTCTCGGGCAGTCATGAAACTCTTGGCAGTGCTCGGTGCACTCGCGATACAGTGCGTCGCTACAAAACCATGGAGCAGCGATAGTAAGTGAAAGTCTGTTAAGAACGGTGATCGAAATAACTTCCTTGTTCGCTCGTTACAGGTTATCCAGAGGAGTCGTTCTCCATGTTTGGTTGGTTCAGCTACCTGAAACGCCTCTCTCTGATAGCGCTGATGCTGTTCGGAGTAATCCTCTACTATGTCCCGGAATCGCGTCCACGTGAGTGAAACGCGCAGAAATCAGAGATTCTTCACGTATATTTAAATAGACGTGTACACGTATTACAGTACGTGTCATATTAAAGACACGTATACCCGTGAATTATTTCACATATCTTTATATACACGTGTATTTAATTACAAACGAATTAATACATTTTCATCTTAATAGATGTAATTTTTAGAATATCAATACTAATTTACGAATCCAGAATATAATTCCACAAGTGTCGAAGTTTAACACTAGAACTACCGAAGCGGTCAAAATGACCTATTCGTAATTTCTACGAAAATTTACCGTAGCTTTCTATGAGAGAATGAATAAACACTTGTTTTCATTGCATTATACATTTCTTCAAGTACAAATAAACACACATGATTGTCAGTAGTTCTAGTGTTACGTATAAAAATGAAATAAAACATCAACTTTATGAACAAAGTTTATTGAATTAATTCTCTATTTTGATGTAAAAAATGGCAATATATTAGTTTCTTTATATCAAAATAGAGAACTAATAATAAAATAGTTTCTATCGAGACCACTTATACTATTTTCCCTCCCCCCCTTTCATTATTGAAAATATGAGTAATATTATACGAAACAAATAGTTTTATCAAAATGTTCGAACGGATTAGTAAGTTTCTACGAACACGATAGACAGTCGAATGAAATATTTCTTCCGCAGACGCGCGCAGAATTTGTTACACGCTGATCGATTTTACGGCGAACAGTTTGAAATTCGCGCTGAGCGCCCGCGAAAGCGAATACCTGTACGAGAAAATTAAATCAAGATACCATCGCACAAGATACGAACAGTCGCTGATAGCGCAGAAACATCGCTCGCGAGAGGACCAGGAAACCGTCGAGGACTTCGAACTACCACACTCGACTCACGGCAGGAAGTCGAAAGCGTTCATCAACGGTGACGGATTATCTGGGTTAGATGGAACAATTTTTGTGATGACTGAAAACCACCTTTTCCTAGTTTCGTATTACAATTTATCATTCCTTCGCAACCTTGTTCTTGGAATATGACTTTCATATACAGGATCTTCAGCCACCAATCGCATTTTCCAAGACGGACGAGCAAAATGTCCAGTGACATTTGGACGGAAACGTATCTTAGGATACTTATGTAGGATTTAACAAAGAGAATTGTATTTGGAACAAATGTACAAATGATATAATTGTAGAAGCGAATTTGAAATACACAAAGCATACAATCCTTTTACACAAATTAATATCGTATAAGAATCACGTCTGACTTTCACAACCGCTCGTTTCGTTCTCCCCGTCGTCTCGCTGTCCCTGGTTACCCATTCCTTCTCGAAAAAAACTTTCCACCCTTTTGCACATAAATTAACATTCAACAAAACTACAGCGCGATACAAATGTTCAATACAAATCTCCAACATTCACGATATCGAAGTTAATCAGTATTTAATTCACGTTAAGTCCTGAAGTTGAATAAATGTTATGCTATTAATAAAGCATTCGCAATGTTTACGTTCATTTGTTTACATCCAAATGCGAGACTTCAGTGTCATCTATCGCCGAATTATTTCAAATACTGTGGCAATCAATTTATGGCAATTTTTCCTTCAATGTCATCTGAAAGTCACCGTGTAGTGGGCCGTTGAATTTGTCTTGACGTCAGCTACAATACTATGAAGTTAAAAATACCTAGTTCCATTTAAAAATATAAGAGTAACCTTAATTTTTTATCGAAAATCAATTTGTTTTAAAATTTAAGCAACTGTAATTTCTTGTTGGTTAAAAATTGGTTAACTTCGATAGGAAACATTTTTTTATCAGACTATCGAAAGGGGGTGAAAAATCGTGAGGACTAATTCGTGCCTCACCCTATATATGAAACTTTCATGTTTAATAGTCAGTATTTTATTAATTTTGTTCTAATTCACATATTTCTAAAATAATTGTTTTGTGATAGAACATCGTTATTTTTTAAACTTTGATCGTTGCAAAACTAACAGGATTTCTTAAAAATAGTCCTTTAGTCAAGCATCTGTTTTTAAAATGCAAATATACATTTTATAAGAAAATGTATTTGGAAGTTTTTTGAAATTTGTTCTGATGGATTCAAAAGAAGAAACTTAAAGATTTAAACACGAATTAAATTTGTTTATTAAATTTAAAAGGCATAACGAAATATATAATTGCATAATATGCGATACACACTACTTAAATCAGTATACAGGATGTTCGGCCACCCCTGGGAAAAATTTTAGTAGGAGATTCTAGAGGCCAAAATACTCTCTCTTTCACTGTAGCTAAACTTTCCCTACGCTAAGTATTTTCCAGTTTCGTTTTTCCGTGTTTCTGTCCTGTCTCTTTTTCTCTCCCTTTACTATTAGGTTAAGGAAATGTATATATTGAAGGGCGGTTTTAGGAAAGACGCTCAGTCTGTTTTAGACGGCTTCTAGCTCACAATCAGTCCTATTAGAGACACGTTATGGTCAGTCTGGTAAAGACGTCGTAGTATCATTGTAAGTTAGCCTATGTGTGGCTAAACCCCGCACTTGCGAATAAACTGTATAATAATTGTGGGGTAGATTGTGGGCTTGTTATTTGAACCCCCAGCCCCTCACGTGGAATCGAGAGAATTTCGTTCTCTAAGCCAGTGTAAATTCCAAACTTCGAGCTGTGACACAATATCTATTCGTTTCCAATTTTTATGAAGTCTTGATGTTAATTTAAAATTTTAGAAATGTTCTGAAGTGACAAATTTTGTTTTTTTTTTTTATTAAATTACAAATTTTATCCTCGTCAATTTCAGAATATCGAACAGCACGAACTAATGGGACGACCTAATACTATTTTCCAGATTAGGTTTGTTAACACTTTGACGGCCGCTGTCACGTATACGTGACTTTGCGAGCTAGCAGACGTTGGCCACTGTCACGTGTACATGATCTAATGTATCAGTCACCATTTCATCATACATTCAACTTATTACGTTTGTTGAGGTTACATTTATAATTCCTTATAATAATATTACTAGCATCTTCGTGTATCTCACTTTGGTCTACAACATCAGTGGTGACGGACAACGGTCTTCGCGTGATACGTGCGGCCATTAAAGTGTTAACCGCTATTTAGATTCGTATATACGAATTTTCATTTCGATCTTCTTTCTTTTTTTTTACTTAATACTTAATTGTATACAATCTTAACGCAACAAAAATATATTATTCTTTTTAAACGTAGGTATTTTTGTTGGGATTGTGTTTGGTTCATTCTAAACAATTCTAAACAACACGTTATTATTTCAACACATTTATTTCTATTTTAACAATGAACGTACATAGGTATTTCTACACGTGTTCCCTCACAACGTCATTACTAGACTGCTGATTTTTATGCAAATTCATATTTTGATTAATAGAATTAACGATATAAGAGCTTTGTAGAGGGTTGTTTCAATCCCTAAATATATTAATTCGTATCTTGCTTTAAGTATTCCTTATATTTTTGCATATTAAGTGCACTCTGCTGGTATTTTTCCTAAGCTATGAAAGTTACGTTTAATTAAGCCGATTCCTAAATCTGCTAACTCCATGTCAATTTCAAATTTTGGACCTATTAGTATACAAAATGTCATGCATAAGATTTCGGAAAATTTAATTAGTCGTGAACTAACATTTCTATGCAAAAACATCATCATTGATGGGGCAACATGGCTTCTTTGTCGGTCGATTGATAGACACTAATTTTGTGGAGTATCATTACTAGACTGCGGATCTTCATGCAAATTCATATTTTTATTAATAAAATTAATGAAATTGGAGCTTTGTAGAGAGTTGTCTCAACCCCTAGATATAATAATTCGTACGTTACTTTAAGTGTTTCTTATATTCTTGCATATTAACTAAATTCTGTAGTTTTTTGAAAATTAAAATTTCCCATAAATGCATAAACATCCGCAGTCTAGTCATTACACATTACCGGGCACTCTACCGCGGAATTCTCCCTCATATCCTCGTTCCAACGCTACCAACTACAATCAGTAAAAATAACTACACAATTTTGTACCCTTGATAATTTATGAACTGTTCTATAGGGGACGGGAAAGAAGGAAACTGACCGAGAAGCCAAGCAAAGATCAACGACAATCTCGTCATCGACTTCGAAGTAGTATCGTTAAAAACGTTTCGCCGGAGGCTAGCTCGGAAGATAACAAATCGGTGTACTTTTATTCCGACAAACTGGAAGATCTTAAAAAATACGTTAAAACGAATTTGCGCGACGCGAAACGGCCAAATGCAACGTCTGTTGAGGATTACGCGCTTTTGATTAGGTATACACACGGCGAAGCCACGGTATAATCGAGTAATCATTTTCTATATTTGCAGCGGTAGTCCACGGCAAATGGCAATGCTCGATGGAAAATACGACAAGGACGACGTTGTCATTGTTGAGGATCCTTATGTTACAGTGGAGTACAAAGAATGTGGTACTTCTATCGATAGACTGTCGTCAAGAATGGATGTTTCAGGCTCGGAACAGGAAGGACCTACCAGAGATCATAACGACCACGCAACAGATTCAGTAATTTCAATTAAAGAGTTATCTACATAAATCGTTTTAATAGGCGCCACTATAAAAAATGAGAATTTTTACGTTTATAATATATGAGCAAAAGATTCATGTTACGTTTAATTTAATTAATTTAATACTAATTGCAAGTAGAAAAGTAGTACAAGGGTATTTTTCCCAAAAACAAGATAAGTAAACGGTATACATATAAGATTCGTATTTATGTATTGGGAAAAATAATACAAGTGTTTTCAAACAATAGTATTAGGTAAGCCAACTATACGAAGCTGTCAGAAAAGCACTTATTTGAGATCTCTTATCGGATTTAAACGTCAGCAAATTTCTCTGTATTTTCATTACTTAGCGACAAATTAATAATGCAGGGAATGGAAACATACGTTAAAGATGTTGATTTGAGCTCCGCGGCAGATGGCAATACAAGATATTCTGACTATACAGCTTTGTATCAAATGAGTCAGATTGAATGTGGCGGTGAGTGTTGCAGCGGTAACGGGTGTTCGATGTCTTCTGCAGTGTTAAACACCGTCAAAGAAGATCTCAATCCGCCCATTAATATTAAAAACGTACTAAAGTAAATGAATAACTGTCGACGTAATATACGACGTTGCTTAAAATATTCTTAAGTTACTAGAATCCATTATCTCAGATCGTGTAAAAGTATGGTAACTCCCAAAACGCACAGCAAAATAGACGAAAGCAGTGAAAGTTTATACGCCATCAATTACAACGATTACAGCCGCAAAAATCGACTAAAATCCAATAATTTCAGCAACGAACGCAAGGTTAATTTTCTAAACACGATCAAGGAAACACCACGGGTAAATTGTTAACTTCACAATACATAGAACTTTTGCAAATTCTCAAATATTTCGCTAGTGTATTTACGTACTTAAATCCGATATGAAATTCGTTTTCATTATTATGATGATATTTTGTCCAAAATTCTGTTACATTTTGTGCGATTAGATTGCAAGTAATTAGATTTATCACACATTTTATACGCAAACGTTAACATAGTCATTTTGAATTATTTAATCTTCTGTCGAACAGTATATGTAAAAATTTTAAAAATTCTTAAAAGAATTAAACCAAATTAATTCAATGTCATGTCAAATATTTCCTCAGACACTCCGTATAATGTATTATATCGATACAATACATTCTCGAACATACTTGCGAGCATCTTTATTTCGAACAGAAACGCCATCACGAAAATACGTCCAGAAACATCCACAGGAAAACGTCAAGAAATAACGATCGGCCAACAGGGTACTGTAACGACATTTATTACTATACGGATCGAGGAGGGGAAGCCGACGATGAAAATTCTCTGCGCGAAAGACGAGTGACCGGAAAGTACAATCTTCACGAGAGGTCTCAGAGAGAAAACTACGTATTCGATACGAACTCGGACGACTCGATTTTCGAGTACAAATACGAGGATTTTTCTACGAAACCTATCCTGCAGAGTATGTTAAAGCTTAACCTTATCCTTTAAAATGTGAAAAAGTAAATTTACAAATTAATAAAACCTTAATCCTTAACTAGCAACGTGGGGTATTTTGACATCCCCAGCGACTGTATTTATTTTATATACAGGATGTTCGGCCACTCCTGGCAGAAATTGTAATGGAAGATTCTAGAGGCCAAAATAGGACGAAAATCAAGAATACCAATTTCTTAACTGAGGCTTCGTTAAAAAGTTATTAACGTTTAAAGTTCCGCCCGTACTGAATTTTTTTATCGAAAATGCGGAGTATTTCGGGGGTATGTCTATTGAACAAAAATTATTGTAATTGACCCCCGCAGACGAAAATAATTTTTTCAGAATGATTTGAGGTTTTTTTAATTTAATTTTTTAATAACTTTTTAACGAAGCCTCAGTCAAGAAATTGATATTCTTGATTGTTGTCCTATTTTAGCCTCTAGAATCTCCTATTAAAACTTTTCCCAGGAGTGGCCGAACACCCTGTATAATTAACACGTTGACTGCTATACCAGCTTTCTCTGTCTTGGGATATTCTCGATATTTTTTCAAACTATAGCATAACAAATGGAAGTATTCAATAGTTCAATGAGGCACTTGTTATTTTGTAAGATTCCTAACGTTATTATAAAATATATCATTACTGAAGTTTATTTATTCTAAGCGTTGTAAAATCACGTTGTAGGATTGTAGCACCGGTCACCAGTGACCACCATGGCAGTCAACGTGTTAATATCATGCTCTATTATTTTGTGCAACCAATTGCATAAAAAGGAAGTCGTCTTTTATTTTTCAATAATATATTTTTGTGTGCTCAATACGTTGTACCCCACGTTACAATTTAAGGGTTATATCATGTTTAGAGAATTCATATTCAATCAATTTTGGTTTTATCTAACATTTTTCCACGACCCGTTATTTAATTTCTTTTAAATAAATGCAATAATATCATAAGTAAATGGCAGGTTTTCGTTCTTCGAAAATAAACGTCTCATCATTTTATCCAAATAAAGTCTGCTCGTGTAAACAGTTTGTTCTTGAACATCTACATTGCATTTCTTTCGAATTAAAAATTGTGTATACTCTAAACTGGGTAAAATTAAACGAAAAAATATTTAGTTATATAGGTGAAATAAAATATTTTAAATATGAAATGAAATTTTGGCAAATAAAATATTTTTATCTTGATACTCTAAAGTAAAAAATTAAATATATTAACTCTACATTTCATATATGCATTTTACATATTTTTTAATAATGGAAATAAGTTGAGTATTTTGATTAAGGTGAGCCGTGAAATCGATGTATTGTATTTTAAAAATAGTCGTTCCATATGTTTGTATTTCATAATACAATACTTAAAATTCTTCAATCACTGTTAATTATTTTGAACAATATAAACCACAGACTTTGACATGAAGAAAAAACCATATGTTTTCTATGTCTTGTGCATTGTTTGATGGGTAACAATCACAATTATATAATCGTTTATATAATTATACACATAACGAAACTTAGTTTTTAAACTTGATATCAAATGAAAATAAATAAAATATTGTAAAGTAAAGCATGAATGTTTTCCAAAGAAAAAGTTTAAAACCCTATTTCACCAAATAAAAGAGACTATTTACTATTTGGAATAGTATTTTACCCAGCTCTATGTATGCTCTGTCGATGGCATGTATCATGTGGGGTATACAAAATTTACATTTTCTTCTTGTAAATATAGAAAATATAAAAATATACAAAACGCCTTACATTTTTGTCCAGTATTGGGGTAAAAAATATTTTGCTGATTCAGATGAATTCAAACCTGTCCTATTGCGAGCGGTAAATTGGATCTTTGGTGGTTGCCCGGCGGCGACGAAGAGGCGCGTTGAAACACAGTAAGGTCGGAAAGGAAGAGATCCAAGGCAATACCGACGAGTGGCTCCGCTAGCCAAGGACATGGGACACATGATTGCAAAGACACGAACCGTCGGCAAAACGAAACACCTGCTGTATCCAATTATCGTGATCTCATTAAAATCATTCCAGTTATTATACATTGCAAATCAATTAAAATCGTTCGTTCCTCGCCGCTCTTGTGATTCCCGAATAAATCCGAAATTCCGTTCACGAACCCTCGTTTGCTTGCTTTGGGAGGAAATACGAGTGTACACGGCTAGCTAGAAATATCAACCCGTAAGCCTGTTCCGCGAGAACGTCGATTTACAAACAATTTCCTTCGCGAACTCGACGGCGCATCCGGAAGTATTCAAACCGCGCGTTCCGAGAAGCCATGAATGATTTTACGATCGCTGCTGTAGCACGTATCTTCGTGTCAATATTTGTCTCGATCCTGTTGAATGGGTAAGCACGGGTAACGCTAATACGTGATTGCCTAGGCGTAGCTCAATGAACGGCGACGCTTGAAAAACGCTCGCGCCAAATTCGAGCGTGCCAAGTGCAACGGGAACGTCTAAAATAGACGTTGATGGAGACTTTTTCTGAAAGGGACATGATAATAAACATTTTGTGCTACGTGGATATGATGATAAAATTGAGGATTACGCGTTTAACGCAAAACAACATATGCAAGTCACATCGCTTTCGAAATATTGCTGTTTAAAGTTTGAAACACCGATTCTTTGTTTCGTCCATGGGTTCAGTTTTTCCAATCTCCGCGTGTTCTCCTTTGTATGGTTATTTTAACCGCTTAATGGATAGCGTGACATACTCATCCACGCCTACTTGACTTGATTATTCAGCGGTCTGTGTCTCACGTTCATTACCAAGTAATTCAAATATTTTAAAGATTGTATAGTATTAAGATGGCTAAAAAGTTCGTACGGTTCTAAACGTGCAAATAGGCAATTCTTTTATGGTAGGAAATATTTTCATTCCCTAATAAATTTTACCTCCTAAATTATAATCTATTCCCATCTTTCAGATAGCTTTATAATTCCCATAAAAAGCTAAATAATCGCTACTTAAGGGGCCTTTCTACATTGTGGGATTTAAAAAATCGAATTTTTTTTGCATTTTCTTTTAGTATGTGGTCTCGAAAATATATCTGCCAAATATTAAATTGAAATTCTGAAAACTAACGAAGTTAATAACAACTGGACGTGAAACTTTAAAGCTGTTTTTCTCGAAACTACATTTTTCGGCACTGCGTATGTGATAACGAAAAAACTATTCAAGATATCAACATGAAATTTATAAAGTATCTTTAGAACTGGTCTCCCTATAGCATGAACTAGGATAATTGCGATATATGTAATACTTTTTCTTTTATTAACAAAAAAGCAACCGAATATATGAAAATATTTAGTATTTTTTCGTAAAATAGCTGCCATTTTGCCATTTTTTGTTTTTTTGAAAAGATCCTAGTTCACGCTATAACCGCACTCATCTACATTAAGAATATCTTTGGTTTTTGGATTTCGGATAACTTGTTCGCAAGATATCACATACGCAGTCAGACGCCGTTCTTAAAAACTGTTGTTTGTTGATCAACAAAAGCAGCGTAATTAATAGATATTATGCGTTGCAAAAATTCGTAAATATAGCTAAATATATAATAAATGTATCTACAAAACACGGAATTAATCGCTCTTTAATAGCCAGCAAAAAAAAATCACAAAGAAACATGTATTTTTCGTGCCTACAAGGTAGAATGGCTCCTTAATGACCTCTTACGAATCAAAGTTTTGTTCATTAAGGGGATTTTACAGAGAGCTAATTTTAAATAAAATAAAAATGTTTAAAAAACTATTTTCGATTCGTTTTTTAGTGACAATCTCTCCGTACATTTTACACAAATTTGTACAGATTTGTGCTTCGTTTGTTCCTTTTTCGAAATATAGCAACATAATACGTCGAGAATGCTCCATTTGGATGTTTATTCGTAAAATTATGCCACAGGTATAAAAAAAATTCCAATCCTCAAACTTTTTCGTGACAATATACAATTAAATATTAACTATCAAATAACGATATGTTTTTAAGATTTGAGTTGAAGTTAGTTGCGTTTCACAGCGCCTGAAGATAAGTATCGCCAAAATCCACACGAAATTATATTTGGCCAACCCAATAGAATATAGATTATCGGGAAACCCAATTATCCAAAACCGAACGTAATTATTGGAATACAAGTGGAACATATAAGTATAGCACCTAATAATACAATTAAAAGAATTTATGATTTAGCCACGAAATAAGTAGGTATATTATTGAAAGATCCACGATTGCTGTAGTCAAAAAAGATAAATCGAAATTTTCACGATCGATAGTTACAGAGTCGTTATAGTTTTTCAACGTATGGTAAAAATAACATCGTATTATTGCAATCAAGGAACAGCAGAAATGCATTTCATTTATGGACTTGCGAGATGGAAATGGAAGTAGGGCATGAAGAAAACCTGTAACCAAGGAACGAAGATACGATAATGTATTGTTTCTATGTAGCACAATAGTTTCAAAATCTAACTTTGTAAATACTAATTTTCCGAGCCATGTTTACGAAGACTTTTCTATTCTATTTAGCAAGTACTGTCTACCCAAAAGATTACGAACCAATTTTTGCATCATTCTGTACAAGTACAAACAGAAAATGTAATTTCAGACATATTTTTCTTTTAAATAATACTTGAAATTTTCGTAGAAAAGGCTTAAAATTTGCACAAACCTCGATAAATTTCTAATCCTACATCAGCAGGTCCTTCTCAAATTTGAAAATATAATTAAGGTTTTTACTAATAAAAAATGAAACAGAAAATAGCTTATGTAGCTAGGAAATTAAATTAAAACTGATTTTATACAAGACAACTGTAATTAGAAAATATAATTTAATTTCAAAATATACTGAAAGAAGCATATTCTATTTTTTTTTTCCTCAATAATTTTTGGTTGAAACATAAAATTTTATTAGTAATTAGAAAATATAATTTAATACAAAATTCGTTCTAACAAGCAAATTGTTTTGTTTTTTGCTGAAACATAAAATTTTCGTAGAGAAGCCACCGAGCTAAAATTTTGTATATTCCCTCGTTTTCTAGACGGAGCCTGAGTGGAAATCAAGCTTAACGGGCACAGAGGAACCACGTTGATTTTCGAAACACGACCTTCGTTCGTGCACACTCCCGTGCCGGAAGTGGATATCGCGGGCGTACGTGGCTTAAGAGCAATAAAGGAGCCCTGGCTCGCGAGCCGCCAAAAGAGAATGGGGAAAGACAGTCGCTCGGGGACCAAGAAGCGCGTCGGACCACGCAACGGAACCGCGAGATCGTTGGAGAGCACGTGACATAAACACACGCGATACAAGGGCGAACCGCGAACCCGTGAATTTCCGATATCGATTCGTTTCGCACGATTAATCGCCACGCCGCGCGGCATTGTCGTCCAAGAAGAAACTCCGATGCGACAATAGCGACGGGGCCGTGTACGAGGCAAATTCATAAGCAACCTTTTCTTCGTCGCGATCGAAACATTAACGGGACACGATGTTCGTTTTTCACACGAGTTGATAGAACGTGCGTCGGGAAATGGTGAAGAAGCAGTGCGTCGGTGCGTTCTAGGAGACTGGTGAGTGCATAATAAAAATAACACGGAGTTTTTAATAGTAGAAGGTATCGGAAAACGCATAGGGAATGATCGATAGCTTAGTTTTCAGATTCGCAATATTTTCACGGGTAACGTTTCGACCTCTTTCCTGTCGAGTTTTCTCGGTAGACGATCGAAAAGAAATCTCCTCTTTTTCACTATTCGGCAAATATATGTCTAAAAATTTCTGTCCCAAAGTTTGTATCCCAACGTTTATTTCGCTCTTTGTTATTTTGGTCACTGAACATGGTTTCACTTATTCATCGAGCGGCTATGTTGCCCGAGTTACCTCTGGTCTGGTAGTTGAGTAGTTAACCCCTTACGGACGGACATATTGGAACACGAATATTAAAGAGACAGAGGACAGTAAGGTGTATCTAAAAATGATACCAGCGGCTAGATATTAAAGAAATTCAATTTTTGTTCATTTTTATCAACGATTTTATAGAGAATTTTCCAATGTATGTCCGAAATCGGTTAATAACCACGTATATTCTATTTCTTGTTCACGATAGCACGTACGATTAATAAACATTTCCAAGATATGTTCTAACGGTTAGCGATCGATCAGGCACTTTCAATTTATTTCAATAACATAATTGTTATCACAATTTGACAGAAGCATTAGGTTTATTTGTTTTTAATAAATTGCATAGACATTGGCAATGTTGTAATCAAACCTGAAGAAAGTAGAAAGTTAACTTTTCGAAATGTTCAATAATTATATGTTTTCATTACGCTATCGAACACTTATGAACTAATACGACCACAACTGGAATACTCGGGCATTGATGACACGTTCCTTAAAAATTTTGATATAAATTTTAATTAAAAATGTAAGCGATATCATTTGTATTATATAAAATGTTATAATGTAGACAAAAATAATACCCACGATTTTCTATAATCATTAAATGTGACGATTAACATTAATTGAGATATTATATACCAATGGTGGCTAAACTGTTTATTAATTCTAAATATCATTTACAAAATATGCACCAAATCTTGTTCAAATGCATTCTCCTTAATAAGTTTTACAATCTATATAGAGAGTATAATAGAGCAAAAGTTTCGAATTTTATAAAATTATCCTTAAATACAAATCCACAAATTGTCCACTAAACAACGAAAAGAAAAGAATATTTTCTCAAAAAGATATCGTTTCTCGACAGCCTGTTTTTACATATGCAAGCGTTCGTATTCTTAAATCAACATAAACACTAATATCTGCTAGAATATTTCAAGTATATACATAAAATACTGTTGAAATAGAGAATAAGGCTCTAGAGTATTTCCGATGGCCGATGTATGGCTCCTATCGTGGTAGGGTTTGGCCACCACTGTTATGTACAATAATTCAAGTATAGCGCGCACAACCAAAACACAATTCGTGCCCGTTCGACGAGCCTGTTCACCCGTGACGCGGCTTACGTACCGCGGTGGTACATTGTTAGACGCCGAAGTAAATTCCTCGGATTCCACGGGACATGTGCGAACTGTTCTATTAATGTACCCATCATGTGGTTCTTTCTCTCTTGCGCGACGAGTCGCGCGCACCTCGGTCCCGCTCTTTCTCCGCGTTTCGCCTCTTCCACTCCCCACCACGTTCGTCGCCGATCCCATGGAAGAGGATTGCGGCGTATTTAAACTTTCGTTCGAAGGGGAACACGAAGCGAATGCTTGGTAGATCGTCGCAGATGGTCCCGTTTGCATTTCGGACGAAGGAGACACGGGACACCCGGTAAATGGAACCGCGTACGATACTCGGGAACGCCGTTTATAGTTGCTTCAACCCTCATCCCTCGTTTTCATAGCGTGATTTGTTCGTTGGATAAATCTACATTTTAGAAACTTTGTCTTACATCGAAATATTTTCTTGCGATTTTTTTTAAAAAAAAAAGGCCGTATTTCGACATTTAAGGGGTAAGATCACTGTAAAAACCTGAAATACAGCGTTTGTTTTTTGAATGGATGGAAAAGTAGGAGGATAATAATATTCAAGAATGTTATTAACAATGTCGTTAAGTGTTAAAAAAAAAATTTATTCAATAATAGTGCAAAATGACGAGACGCTCTGCCACAAAAAAAAAAACAAATTTCTTAATCTACATGAGTATAGATAGAGAATTACGTAGGGGTTCTACGATAAGTTAATTTTAACATTATTTATTGACAAATGTAGTGTGCATAGTGTACAATAGAATTTTTAAAAACTGAAGAATCGATGACGAATCGAATCCGACGATATTGAAGTATGGCATACTGGACGAAATTATGAACAACTTTTATCTGAACAATAATTGCTCCAAGATATTTGCAAATATTGTTGGTACTGCGTCTAGCAGTCGAATAAACTTCTCCGTTGAAACAAAAAAATCGGTTCTGAAATGAGCCCACAACGAACTTTCGCTAATCTACAAATCGAATTCGATCCAAATACATTAAGTATTGAAAAACGTATGAAATAAACAATAACCAAGCCTAACCTAATCACTGAAACTAATTTGATGGAATGTAATGGCTTTGAGGTTATGAGTGAATTGGATTCTGTTTCATGTCGAGTAAAATTGGTAGTATGTAATAATTACACTGTAATAGCCGCCAAAGGAGTTGGAAGTGAGAATTATATGTGTCAAATTGATACACAAGATCTTTTTTGTAACAAATATTGTTTAGAGCTCTAACGACAAAAATAAGTAGAAGACAATAAATAACATTATTCCATTTGAGGCCTTGTTTTCGAAAAAATGAACATTTTATGGGGTATGCATGCAATAGAGTACGACTTCGATTTCAGCACAAGTAAAAAAAGTGATTAATAGCCAGACGCGTCGGCCATATAAAAAGAATTAAGAATATAGATGAACTACTATATCATTTTATCTATGCTTTGTAACATATTATTTGTTTCAATAATTAGTTATATAAAGCTACTACTTATTATATTTATATCTTAATAATTAATTTAAAAAATTGGCGAAATTACAAAAATTAAAAAGTAACCGCACACAGTAAAGTCCAAGCGTTATGTATATGAAGTTTTGCTTAACCTCATCGTCCATAGTTTTCCATTTTTCGAGATAAAAAATTTCATTTTTAATACATAGGCATATACTGAATTATCTGTATTATTTAAATTTAGAGTTCAAGTTCCTACGTTGTCCCATTTGGCAGCTATGAGCTGTACTAAATTTAGCATATTGTGAGCAAATGATTGAAAGGCCACTGTACACAAACTTTTTAAATACATTAATTTTTCTATGAAAATAATAAACGTCAATATGATTCGTTAAAGGAATCGGTTAAATATAACAAAAAACAATTTCTGTAGCTTCTAATACCGAAAAAAATAACTCTTTTCTGGATAAATCTAAATGGACGATACGCTTGATATAAATCTCTTGCTTTTGAAGTAAAATAGTTATTCTAATCTATAGAGAGGAAATAGTCGATACAAGATATCCTTTCTTCTAATGCAAGTCTACTTGCAGTTTTTTTTTTTAATTATCTGTAAACATTGCACTTTTAAGACAAACGTTTTCATGTTTTTCTTGGTATTTTATCGGTCAATACAAATTCTTCATTTTGGTGTTTGCGAACAAGCAGAGAACAAAAACTTTTTGAAAAAAATAATATCATGTTTACCGTCCTTGTTATTGATAATATTTTACGATATACTAAATTTATACTATATTCTATACACTAATATATTAGCTTTGATTGGTTTGATCGAAACAACGTAAAAAAATAATTTGATTTCAGCGTTTCTACGCCTAGGTAGACAACAGTACACATATATCGTAATATGCACGTACGAAGTGTAAGAAAGCGTGAAATAACGAGTAAAATTACTTTCCATTCTGTTTTAAGTCATTAAATTCAATAAACGAAACTTACTACGTTACGACATAAGGAGTATGGGGCTTTTCTACTTTATACCAGGAATCTTCAAACGTTTCTTCGAAAATGGTCGAATATTACAAATTTTCGGTTTTGCGGTCTAACAAATCAAGTAAATTATAGATACTTATGTACGAAATGGGAAACAAAATTTATACAATTCGTGTATTAACAACATGCATAGTATAGTTGCATAAAAATAGATTTTTGAGTATCTATAGATTGGAATAGAATTTGTTGAACCAACGAATCCAAATTCCAAGTATTTGAGTTGCACGACGAACATTTGCCGATGTGTAAAAGAAAAAGTGTTACCAAGTTGTATTATAGCCACGATCAAACATGGTGGCGGTTCAATTATGGTGTGGGGATGTTTCTCAACAGCTGGAGTAGAAAGTGTAATAAAAATTGAAAATACAATGGGGAAAGAAGACTATAAACAAATACTTGAGCAACACGCTATATCGTCAGGTCACCGATTAATAAGCAGAAATTTTGTTATACAGCGAGACAACAATTCTGAGCACTCATCTAAATTGTTTAAAGGGTTCTTACTGCAAAAAGAAACGGAGCTAGCCTTGAGAAATATGATATGACCAGCACAGCCACCAGACATAAACCCAATTGAGTTATTGTGGGAAGAGCTCGACCGGAATATCCGGCTGCACTGCCCTACATCGAAACAACACCTTTGGCAACTTTTACAAACATGGAACAGTATCAAATTAGAAACGCTTGAAAAACATAAACTCAAGGGGGTTTTTTTCAATGAGAAAGCAATTTAAAAAACATACCAGTTCTTTGTAAATAAAAATAGTAGGTACATAATGTAAAATATGTTACTTATTAGTTTTCTAATAAATAAAATTACTTTACTCGTTTCAAAATTAGAAACACTTGAAAAACTTACACATTCAAAAGGGGTTTTTCGATTAAAAAACATGCTACTTCTTTGTAAATAAAAATAATACAAAATGTAAAATATGTTACTTATTAGTTTACTAATAAATAACACTATTTAGTCGTTTTAAAGGTGTTCATTTTTCTTAGGAAGACCTAGTTTCTCCTAATCCGCGTAGTAATTCTTCGGGCAGTAGTATATGTCCGAGTCTTTAAATTAAATCAAACTTTTTTGAAAATATGAATTTTCAAAAAAGCAATTAAAAATTCGATACAAAAGAATAAATAATTTCTGGCAAATGTGTTATCAACAAATCAGTCTTTGCTATTTTAAAATTGAGCTGCTGTTCAAGAATTATATCATTTTTAAACAAAACTGTATACGTAATTTGACTTAAGAAAGATTTTCAAACTTATATAATAGTACGAACAGAACATTTCTCTCTACGCATTTTTAGCGTTTCTCACTTTCATCTGCAATGCGTACAAGCCGATCAGAGATAACAACAATTCTTGCAATAGTATCTCCGAGCGAAAGTTAACGAGAGATCACTGTAAGTCAAAAATGTATAGCGCTACTTTTTACGAAGCTTTATTTCCGAATAAATCGATAGTGATTTATCGAATACGCGTACCACTTGACCGAGCTATAAACTATATACAGGGTGTTCGGCCACTCCTGGGAAACATTTTAATGGGAGATTCTAGAGGCCAAAATTAAAACAATTTCAAATCGTTCTGGAAAAATTATTTTCGGTTGCGGGTGCCAATTGCAATCATTTTTGGTCAATACACTTGCCCCCGAAATCTTACCTCCTTTCGAGAAAAAAATTCGGGTAGGTGCTGAAATGTTTCGGTGAAAAAAAAAAATTTTCAAATCGTTCTAAAAAAATTATTTTCGGTTGCAAGGATCGATTACAATCATTTTTTGTCATTACACATACCCCCGAATTCCTACTCATTCTCGAGAAAAAAATTTCTTAACGAAAATCTAATGTGAGGCTAGAAATGCGAATCTTTAAAATGTCATAATTCCTGAACAGATTAGACGATTTTAATGATTCAAAATGCATACAACGCGCATTTTGTTGAAGAATATGTGGAAATTCCAAAAATATTCGAAAAGTTATTCCTTGACTCCGCAAAATGGGGAAAACCCTCTAAAAATGGTCAAATTTTCAAACAGCCATAACTCCTGCGATAGTGAATATATTTCAATGAAACTTTTTTCTGATATAGAGCCCATGGGTACCTACAGAAAAGTATTAGACAACTTTTCTATAGGCGTCAAACAAAAGTACTAAAAATGAAAAACTGATTTTTAAGAATCGATTTTCAAATCGTTCTGGAAAAATTATTTTCGGTTGCGGGTGTCAATTACAATTATTTTTGGTGAATAGACATACCCCAAAAATCCTGTGCATTTTCGAGAAAAAAATTCAGTACGGGTGGAACTTTAAACGTTAATAACTTCTTAACGAAGCCTCCATCAACAAATTGGTATTCTTGATTTTCATCTTATTTTTGCCTCTAGAATCTGCCATTAAATTTTTTTCCCAGAGGTGGCCGAACATCCTGTATGTATATATGTATACATAGTTTTCGCTGAATTTATATTTATAAATATGAACGTTATTGGCTTGCTGTCGTCTCTGGAAAGTGTTCACAAAAGTATAATACTCAGAGCACAATTATTTTGGCAGAGAAACAGGAGACATTTCCAACAATTTTTCATTAGTAAATAAACTTTTGACTAGAGGAAATCCTTTACTACTCAATGTATTATTCGAAAAGTTCAATACGCAAATACATACAAAAAAAATTCACAAAGATCGAGAGAGACATTATCAATAAAAAAAATTTGCAAGGAAACGTATTTTATTATTGTTTCAGATGACCTCCTCGAGATCGAAATGAACATGTTTGATTCGTGCCGTTCTTGCGAATTGGCTGTTATTGTTATTAGTTCGCGAGACTGTATTATTAACTAAGCGCGCGTATGATTTCCACCCCGTGTTTTCCTTGGCAAACGCACGATCATCGCAACGGGGGGTTCGCCAGCGTCGGTTTCGAATGTTTTATATGAAATTTGGTGGCGTTATCGATGCTCGTGGAAACCGGCCAAGGAAAGATGTAGTCGTGACGAATTTTTGCAATTCACACGGACATATTCGCGGCTCTCACACGCGCGCCGTTTCCACCTTGTTCGACGTTTTCTATTGTAGCGCGCTACATGGTTATTCTGTTATGCTTTGTGTAGTGACAAATGCGCGGAGTATGACGTCAAATGCGATTAGAGGCATTCGGAGGAAGAAGAGTTCGCTGTGCGAGGTAAAGGTGGCTGTAATCGGAGCACCTGGAGTCGGGAAAAGTGGTGGGTATACACAGCTTATCTTAAATCTTGTTTCATTTAGAAAGCAGTCCGCCGATCGCGCATTGTCCTCGGTTGAAATTGAAACGCTCGATGCTAATACACCTATCCTTACGACGCAATTTTATGGTATAGTAACGTAAAGCACAATTTTTTACTTCTGTAGCAGTTATATCTTTACCTTTTTTTGGTATCGAATACTTGGGTAAATAGCCCTCGTAGAAATAAACTTCAATCTTCGTACGCTTTTACAGTGAGTACATAAAATGTGAAAATCGAAAACAATTAATGAAACTTATACACAAGCAAATAGTTTAACGTGTAATAGTGATGTAATCAACATTTCATTAATAACGAGTTACAGAAACAAACATTTTAATCATGCATAGAGCTTACCTGTCAGTAAGTTCACAAGTATTCAGATAATGAATTCAAAGTTCGAAAATGTACTTACGATCGATTAAAATTTAGTAAACGTCGAATTTTTTGCAAGAAATATTCGAACGTAATTCCGTACTCGTTTCGTAGAAATATTTTTCTACTAGATTTTTACTATTTTTCAACAGTATTGTATATAAGATTCATTCTGTTAGGATTCGATTATACTGATTTTATTTTTCAAAGTACTCATTAAAAGATTCGAACGTAGTCTATCTGAATAATCCTTCGAGTATTCTTGACCCCATCGTACTATACGTTACGCCATAAATGCTTTTCGTTTTAGTTAGTTTCGACGAGCAAAGTAACGCAATAAGGTTTAATTTTATTGCACCGGCAACGAGCGTGACATTAACTGTAATCCTCTGCACGTAGTTCGATGTACAGTTAGAAGTCGTTAGATTGAATCGGCTGTAGAAATTGCAACTAACAAGTGTCTTTCGAATGTATTCTCTTACAGTGCGTTGCATTTTTCAGCTACAGTGTATTCTTAAACAGCGAGCATATAATACGTAAACATCGTAGACTTAACTCGGTTGAAAACTGAAATAACCACTGTCAACCGGGACTAAACGAGAATGTCTAATGCGCACGACGAAGAATGTGTGAAATACAGAACCGGGTGAAATTAAAAGAAGAAATATTTTTATCTTGATAAGTTAAAGTATAAAATTAAATACTTTAATTCTATCAAATATGCATTTTAAATATTTTCTAATAATGGAAATAACTTGAGTATTTCGAATAAGGTGAGCTGTGGAATCGGTGTATTGTATTTTAGAAATAGTTGTTTCATATATTTGTATTTCATAATACTTTAAATACTCCAGGCATTGTTAGTTATTGTGAACAATTTAAACCACAGATTTCAACATGAAGAAAAAAGCATATATTTTCTATGTCTTGTGCATTGTTTGATGGGTAACAATCGCAATTATATAATCGTTTGTATAATTAGACGCATAACGAAATTTAGTTTTTAAACTTGATATCAAATGAAAATAAATAAAATATTGTAAAGTAAAGCAAGACTATTTTGAGTGTTTTTCAAATAAAGAATTTAAAACCTTATTTCATGAAATAAAATATTTGATTTTCATAGTTGTACGCAGGATGTAAAATAAAATAGACTATTTACCATTTGGAATAGTATTTTACCCAGCTTTAGTGAAATGTGAATTAAATTAGTCGAACTTTGTTATAACGAGCGTCTGACTTTTTCATTTTTTATATTACAATAATTTTGATATGATCAACTTACAATTATACCGCAGTATAAATTTAAATAACAGATAAATAAATTGTAATAATATTTCTCTCTAATTAAACATTATACTTTTAACGATAGATCTTGAAATTGATATTTTCTTTAATGATTCCATCTTAATATTTTTATAATTTGCGAAGTTTATACGATACATCTGAATAGTATGCTCGTTATAAAATTGAATACTTTTGCAATTATTTCTTGTTCGTTACATCCGTGAACTTGTTGCAACTAAATTCGATATTAATTCGAACGATAGCCTACAAGGTATAAGACTAACAATAAGATAAACAATATTTCTTAGAAAATAATAGCCAAGTATCGAAATTAATTAAAGTACGCGCGTCACACAATATCGAACGTCGAAAGGATAAGTGTATGAGAAACTGTAGACCTCTACAGAAGCGAACCGTGTATATTTTCGTTAATGGCACGTGTAAGGCATAGGTGAATAAATAATTGGTCGGACCCCGGCAACTCGTACGTCCCACACTGATCGCAAGGTGTGTGTACACTATTTATAAAGTTTTATTTCAAAATTTCCTTGGATCACGTCTTATAAAAGACTATAGCGTAAATTTTCTGCGAATAGAGAAGGCACCAATCGTTTATGTATTTCGCGGCGATTGTAGCGCAACGTCATTCCCGGGTTGTGGTTCTCGTCGAACGTATTTTTCGCGCGTCAAACGACCAGCCTTTTTATCGTCGAAATAAAAAGAATAAAATCGATTCAACCGTTCGAATTGATCAGCAGCGGAAATTGGCACGAGAACCGACAAACTTTTAATGAGCTTCGCGAAGGAAAGCGTCCAAATGATGTTCCTCTAATGAGTTTAACGTAAATACACCGGATTGGCGATAAATTCGTTTTCCACGGAGGTGTTCAGGTGGTCTTGTCGATCATGAACCAAAACGCGCAACGGAGCCAACATTTTGCACTTCGGGAAAAGTATTGCCTGATCAGTTTTCAAATTTAGCTCGAGAGTTGGCGGTTTTGTCAATTCATATTATTGACTTATTTTATTATAAAAAATATTTTCATATTTAGAAAAAATACATTACTGATAAAAAAAATTAAAAAAAAGACATCTTTTAGCCTAGCTCGATACAATGTTTTAATTTTGATCGAAGAAATTTGCTCGTGGTGTTCGTAAAACAGGTCACTTTTCATTAAATTCAAGACGAAACACACCATGGTGACGTTCAACGCTCGTGCAAGGTTTTGTGGCGCCGTGGCAGGTTCGAGTTCGAGGTAAAAATAGTGTGGTATACCTCGAAGCGGGTCACTAGGCTATAGCTCTCGTTTCTCTCGATCGAATCGCGTTATGTCGAAACGCCGTACCGTCTCGAGCAAGATCGCGTTCGTTTTCAGAATATCCGATAGAAATTGATTTCGTGCGATCACAAAAAAATTCGGGACAAAAATCAAACAATATGGAAGCTTTAATTCGACGAATCTGTAATTTCCAGGATTCTATGTCACCACAAATTTGTAACAGTTTCCTCTTTACAATTTGATTTGATTGAAATAGGACGTTCATTGCTGGAAAAATGTAAGTTAATAACTTTCTAATTGATGCGCGTACGGAATTTAAATCGATGAATGCACAATCGAACGTCACGTTCAGACTTCTGTGACACATAAAAATCGAACCACATAAAGTTATACCGATAAAACTGGTACTAAATTAGAACAATCTTAAAATAATGCAAAGATCTTTCGAGTGTTCGCGTCTGGTTTTATACTCTCGTTTGGAGTTTCGAAATAATAGGAATCTTTCGGTAATAGTTGTTCCTTTTGCATTCCAGCACTGACAGTGAGGTTTCTAACAAGAAGATACATCGGGGAATATGATCACCAGTCAGGTAAAGAATATCTCGACTAGCAACGCGCGGCGTGATCGCGATAAGATGCGGCTTCTCGGTGCTGGTGTAAATTACAATGAAATGTGAACAGAGTTGACAATAGAATGACACGTTTTTTTGAAAAACTGCCAACGACTGTACGCCACCTCACAGGCCGCGTATACTCTCCCTTCGCATACCTTGAGTCGCGTCTGGTCTAAATTTATCGAAGACGAATTTGACACTAGACAGGACGGGTACTAATGCGAGGTTGATACTCGAACAGAACTTCTTGTTTTGTACAAATACAGACGCAGACAGAAGACAAGCGGCTTTCTTGCGAGCACGTGCTCTGTCGGGATCTAAAACTAGACTGGACTGGAAAGATCCACTTAGCAGCCGAGAGGTACCTGATCTTAACTATATGCGTGGCCACGGGTGAAAATTTGTTACGTAATTTTTCCGTCGCTTCGCCCCGAGAACGTCGATCTGTAAATCGATTTATCTCACCGCGGTTAAGCTTAACAACCTTTATATTCTTCTTTTTCTCTGTTTTCAGAGAACAGATACAAACACGAGGTATTGGTTGACGGCGAACCTATACTTTTCGAAATTTTGGACACCTGTCCGAAGGTAACACCTCTGTCGACAATAACAGAAACGATCTTAATATAAAAGTTTCCTTTTCATCGTATATGTTTCAGAGCGAACTCGAATTGCCATCAACGGAAACTCTGCAATGGGCGGATGGGTTACTTTTAGTCTACTCGATAACCGAGCGGGGTTCGTTCAATTTTGTGAGGAAGGCGAAAGAGACGCTCGCGGTGGCTGATCCAGAAGCTACGATGCCCCTTGCTTTAGTGGGAAACAAAGCTGACATGGTTCACTTAAGACAAGTTAGTACCGAGGAGGGAGAAATACTCGCGAAAGACTTTGAATGCTGGTTCAGCGAAGTGTCAGCCGCTGAACAGGTACTGTACTGTTTTATTTATTTGACCCTTAGACGACCATGCAAGTTGTTTCGTGTAAGTAACCAATGAGATCTTCATGAGCAAATTAATTTTAAAGTTTCTTAGTTAACAAAAATTATATTGCAAACACTTTGGAATAAAAATATCTGTAACAGTAAAAAATATCCTCCAATAATGTACATCATAATTTGCCTTGTTCGGGCCAACGCACAATACATATGTTAAATACATTCAACGTTAAAAGAGAAGATTATCTAAAATGACAAGTATAAACACTTTATTAACGAAATAATAAAACTACTCATTTTATTAAAATTAGTACTAAATTATTTAATTCTTGTCCCCGATGATATCGTCTAAGGGTTTAAAGTGTTCGTTATTTGTACAATTTCTACCGAAAGAATATTTCTCTAGGTCACCCAAGTCGCAGAGTCTTTCCACGAATTGTGTCGAGAGGTTTTGGCAGCTAGAAGGAGAAACAAACAATCTTTATTGGACAGAATGCTTGGCAGCAAAGCGACTCGTGCTTATTCACGGGGTAAAAGTGATTCGGCACTTCCAAAAGATTAATATTTATAATCGCTTAATTTATTGGTATCGAAACGCGTTACTTTTTAAAACAACTACATAAAAGAATTTAACGTGATCACTGTTTTTAAATAAAATTTCTGGTGTTTTCTTAAAAATTGAAAACAAATGGCATATATTTTATGCACACATAGCATGTACTTATCATTGAAATTATAAGTACCAAAGATGTATGTAATATCACATAACATTTATGATATCTATAACAATATGTAAACCCTGAACTATATGTGAATTTAAATATTTTACATTGAAAATTTTTATCCACATAACAGCAATATACACATATAATCTTTTAATATATTGTCACACTTTTTACTGAAAAAATTTATTATTTCATTGTAAGTTAAAATGTAAATTAACTTACATAAACATGCAGCACCAGATATGAATACTGGAGACAAAATTAACGTTGAACGTTTATACATTGTGTGCAAAATTTATGACTTATGTACGCATAGTTTAGAGAGACGTGGAAACTTATATTAGTCGATCTATATTTATTTTGTACGTACAATGAGAATTATGACAATAAATATTTTACTTATTTATTATACCACGATGATTTGTATTTATATTAACATCACAGTATATTTCATTATATCACACTTTATTTCTCTTTGAAGAGTCCACCCATAGGAGTTTGATTTTAACTCCATCTAAATACGTTTTTCAGTTTTATGTTTTTTAAATCGGTAACTACATTTAAAAAAAGATATGACCAATCAACTTCATTTTTTTTTATTATTGAAGAAACTACTTCTTACAAGCAGATCCAGCCCTTCATTCAAATTCAAAAATTTAAAAGACTAAACAGGATTGACAGTTTGTGCTACTTCAGACGAACTATTCCCGCCATTTTCTCTATTGGAAACCCTGAACACTTCGGGAACCCGACTCATTCCGATCATAAAGTTCTTGCATACATCTAGTGATTTCTAAAGATTTATCGAAGCTACTACACCGACCGCTATGAAAGGATATTTCCCTCATCGCGTTGCGAAAACATACAGACGTCATTATACAACGATTTTCTAGCTATATAAATGATGAAATTTTGACACACAATCAATAAGAACATGTGTTCAATTTAACGAAAATCCGGTTTATACTTTCTCTTTAAAAAGTTCCTTAAAATGATTCATTTGTCAGGGCGCTTGAATAAAAAGATCCCTGAACAGTTAGATACAAAATTCACTTTATTTACAAAACCTAGAGAATATCTATTTGGAATCATCATATGTTTCTAAAACATCTGCCAAATGTTCATTATCCCTTGGTTTTTTGAACTGCTTTCTCTTACTAGCAGGTTTCTTTCTTTTGATCGGTGCTGGTTTTTTGGGACCATGATCTTGCATCGATCTAATTCCTTGTTTCTCAAGGTATTCATCAATTTTTTGATCATCCATTGCATCAACAGCAACTGCCCTCCATAATTTTTGAAATTCATCGTCTATTGGAAATTGGGCTGTTTTGTCATTGTAAAAGACGATTTTCTTTTTATCCAAGGGCCGTGTTATAAATAATATCTCATTTTGCAAACTCTAAATTTAATACCTTGCTATTGAAATTATTGTTTATCTATATATATTATATCGATGATAACAAAATGCTTATACCTATTCTTACCTTTAAATGTTTATCACAGTGCGGTAAGCTTTCTTGTATGTCCTCTAATAAAATTCCCCCAAGACCTTTTAAATCTTGTTGCTTTAATAACCTCAATAGTGATTTTTTATCTTTGATTTTATACATAGCTTTAAACATAAATCTACCATCGTGAGTTACTTCTATCTTTGGGTTTTTAATAAGAGCCTCTGTTTGTAGCCATTGTTTTACCTAACAAAAAGCAATGTATTTGTACATTGAACCCTTTAATAATATTCTTAATTCCTTAAATACAAAATATGTTATAACGATGGGTACCCTATCTTTCTTAAGTCATTATTCGCAAAATTTACTAAGCAAATATAATTTATCATCTAATTACAACAAATGACTACAAACTAATAATGGCTAATATGATTATATAAGTATAATAAATAATACTTATGTATAATAAAAAGTTCTGTTCTAGATAAAAACTTTCTCTACCAATATTATAGTTATGGAAGTAGTATAATATTCAACTTACTTTAGATCCAACGTCTAACTGGTTTGTTTCATCCAAGATTTCTTCTAATGTTAAAGGATGATCGTCTCCCTCTTGATGCCTAGCTCTCATATGCTTTACTATTTTTGCCAATACACCAAATTTATACTGAGTGCTACCAGACATAGTTTTATAGTTAACCATATCCAACTTTGGCCCGCTGGATACAGAGGATGGTTTAGGCTTTTTCTTAAGTGATTCATCTCGAATAGAATCTTTTTCTTGTTCCCTCTTCTTTTTTTCTACGCTATAAATATAAATTATAATTTTATAGTAACACAACATATTATACCGTTTATTTTTCAAATTAAAATGAATTTTGTTTCAATATGATTTTTTGACATAACTTCATACAATAGTTTAGGTTAGGAAAGTAAACTGATATTCAATACTTACGTTGGAGTCGTAAGAGCTCTCTTTTTAAAGAGCTCACGCTCTCGAAGCAATGCAGGATCCATCGTGATAAGGAATTTGAATTATACAAACATTAAAAATCTCTTGTTTTGAAGTTCTTTGCAATCTGTCACTTCAGACAGGATCTGGGCCAGAAACAGAGATGCCAGATTGAGCACCAGGTGCACTACTCACCCATGCCAGATCACGCGTACGTGAGCTCGTGGAGCTTCGGAAAGTCGACAAAGGCAAACTGACACATGCTCTCTTTCTCGATTCTCCGAAGCAGCCCGAAGTAATTTCGGACCGCCTCGTGGGAGTCGAGAGAGAAAGGCTCACATTTATCTTCTCGTTCCGGTACAACTGAAATCCGACCTCCCGTTAACGGCATACAATTTGGAATCTCGAGCCGAGATTCTAGACTGCCCAGGCATTTTTACTTTCTGACCTATGTAGGCATATATGTATATGTTCCTACGCTTGGGTACAAAAAATACCCGCGATCACTATATTCGCCAAAAATACCAAGTATACAACTGGTTTGGGGCTCGCAGCCGCCACTAGACGCGGCCTCGTCCTGCCGCTATGAGACAGGGCAATTGCCGGGGGGACCGTTTGTCCCCCCGCGGGTGGGTGCAAAGCGCGGGCACGGGGAGGATACCGGAAGTATGCTTCGAGCGATTCCTGGTATCCTCCCAAATCGTGCGGAAGGGTCACCGCGGGGTTTTTAGTGGGTAGGTACCGCGCCCGTTATAATGGGCGCGGGGAATCCCACACACCCCTCCCGCCTCTCCCCAAAGAGGTGGGAGGGAGTCTTTCGAAGATTTCCCCCACGACAAAAAAAAAAAAAAAAAAAAAGTATACAACTGGTCACCCGTGTTGATTCGGATATTTCATCCTACAACATGGTTGGGGACCAGAGGAAACAAAATAGCATGTGACTCACCAACTGTAGAATTCAAGCACCCGGGCGACGATGTTGCCTAGTAGGAGTCATCAGCGACGTTAGAAACGAAGTCAGCATCAAGGTCAGCAGCGAGATCATCGTCGAGTTTCTCTGGATCCACAAGTACAATGATGAGATGTCAGATATGATGAGATGAGATTCAATAAAAAATACGTACCTAATTAGACGCGAAGCTGTCAACGCACTTCTCACACCACTTTCCAGACGAAGAATGACGAATAGGATCGGGCACGATCTCGCGCGAGGAGTGGGGAGTGGGGTGAGGGAGTCACGTAGTCCGTCTCGACTCTTGATGTGTATTTTCGAAAGAAAGGTTAAACCTTATATCTCGAAGAACTGAAAATAAATAAAATTAAGACATGATGTAAATAAAATTAATATAAAAAGATATGAAACAAACAATTAATTAATGAGTAATAATCTTTATACTCCTGTGACGTCACAATGAGCAGCATCCGACTTTCGATTATTCGATAGATTCAATAGTGTCTCTTAAAGATGAAATATCGATATACACTCATTTTATCGAAATATGTACTAATTAATATGTAAATATATTCATTTTTAATTGAAATTTTAATAAATGCTTTTCATATAAATTGAGTAACACGCAACAACAATAAACAAATAATATGTATAAAATATACAAATATATTAATTTTTCACGATGTTTTTCTTTTGCGTCATAGGACTCCCACTGAATACTGTTCCTGTCTGTTACTCGTCTGTACCTATTTCTAGTGTATTCTATAATATTCTTTAAAAATAATTTTATTCTTACCATTGTTAGCATTCCTAAGCCAAGGATAATGATGCGATACGTTTCTTATCTTTTAAAAGCTCGGTCAGGTTGTGTTTACATTCTCGGACGCCGGCCTCTCGACTTCACCTTGGAGATGGACTCATGAATTCTTGATCTGCGTGACACTAACACTGTTGTTTCATGCGTCTATACTATGCATTGTCTGTGCCCTTAATCCCTGTGTTACGAAAAAATATCGCGTTCGGCGTCTACTTCACACTTCGTTTATGCCTGTAGAAGACTTCTTACCAAACTGCGTCAAGTTCAATGTTATCGACACCGCGTCAAAGAAGGTTGGATATCTAGTGAGAATTAAAATAAATATCTTTAGAAAATTTAGTAGAAACAAAAGAAACTTTTATATGAAAAACTGATTGAAATTTAGATTGAAAGTTAATACTTACGCATTATATGGTTATAATTAATATATTTTAATTGATCTAGTTATATATGCAACCAATAACAGATCGATATTAGATGAGCCAATGACAGCTTCTCATTGTGACGTCACAGAAGTATAAAGATTATAAATCATTAATTAATTGTTTGTTTGATATCTTTTTATATTAATTTTATTTTCTTCATGTCTTAATTTTATTTATTTTCAGTTCTTCGAGATATAAGGTTTAACCTTTATTTCGAAGATACACATCAAGAGTCGAGACGGACAACGTGACTCCCTCACCCCACTCCCCACCCCACTCCCCACTCCTCGCGCGAGATACGTGTCCGATCCTGTTCGTCATTCTTCGTCTGGAAAGTGGTGTGAGAAGTGCGTTGACAGCTTCGCGTCTAATTAGGTACGTATTTTTTATTTTTGACCATTTCTATTCTCCTTGTCATTCTTCATCGATGCAATTATACAATATTAATAAGTGCATATTAACAAATTTGTGTTTTATTTCTGTAAGAGCCCGTAATTACAATTCAAACACGGGACGCTCAACTACGGTCAAACGTATTTTTCATTTTTAACCGATTCTCTTCTTTTCGTCATTATCCATCGATGCATTTATCCAATATTAATAAGTGTCTGTTAACAAATTTGTGTTTTATGTGTGTGGCAGCTCGTAATTACAATTCAACCACATGAGACTCTCAACTGCGGCCAAACTACGGTCACGCTGTAGACGCGACGCCATAATGCTTTGAGAGTTTGTGAACACGTTTCGACAGGAAACCTGTATCTATACGAAAAAGAGTATTTGGCGATGTTCACGTGCGAAAAATGTAAGTATCCTTTGTATTTTGTTCCGAGTACGCTTAAAAAAAATTGTTTGATTTAAATATGCCATCAAGTTTTCAAATACGGTAGAAACCTTTCGTAAAAACATTTACTCTTTCCTTCTAACGGGATCCTGACATCTCATCATCGTACTTGTGGATCCAGAGAAACTCGACGATGATCTCGCTGCTGACCTTGATGCTGACTTCGTTTCTAACGTCGCTGATGACTTCGCTGATGACTCCTACTAGGCAACATCGTCGCCCGGGTGCTTGAATTCTACAGTTGGTGAGTCGCATGCTATTTTGTTTCCTCTGGTCCCCAACCATGTTGTAGGATGAAATATCCGAATCAACACGGGTGACCAGTTGTATACTTGGTATTTTTGACGAGTTAAGTGACCGCGGGTATGAAAAATACCCATGAGTTATATTTTTTTAGTGCAGGCTAGGGTCTTCTTGCACTCGCGTTTTTTAATGTTATCAATAAATATTACGCAATATGATTATTACACAATTTTGATAAAATATATGAAATATGTTTATTATCTTTATATGAATTTAATAATTGAGTAGAATATGAATTAATATAATGTGAAAACATTATATTAATCGTATGATTGAGTAAAATATCTTACATCATTAATATAATTATTAAATATTCGTTTTATTAATTAATACATCATATGATGTATTTTATGTGCAAGAAGGCGTTTCGCGACTGGTCGATTTTCAACTCAAAGGAACATGCATGTTAATTTTATTTTTTTAAAAATTTACTTTGACGACAGAATCGACCAAGGTTAATTGAATATTTTGAATAATAATTTAACAAATTTATTTCAATTTGCAAAGTAAATTATTTTATCATGAAATCTTTATTAAAGTCTTACATTTTGAACAATTAAATTTCAATCACAAATTTTTCTTGAATACTAATATCTTTCAATATTAACGTACTCTGTTGTTGATATATTACATATAACAAGTCGAGTCATTTTAACTGAGAATAGATACCGTTTAGTTAATTATTAATAACCAGTTGTTTTAGTCAGGATTTTCAGGATACTTTCCCGTGTTCGTTGCCTAAGTTCATGCACATGCCCAAGTGTTATTTGCACGAGCGAAGGCAACGGGGCACGATGACTTAGTTTGTAACATTTATAATAATAATTTATCTGTGCGACTGACAAGGGTAGTGTCTCGTGCACGATGTACTGTCCACATATGTGTGTTTGTGGTTAGGTTGTGGAAGTGCATCGTATCAAAAGTTCATCACAATTCAGATACAGAATTTTTTAACATTAGATTCATAACAATCACAATAATAATATTAAACTTATAGTTATTATTTACTTGGCAATTGTTCGTATTGCATACACGTCGATAATATTGTAAAATGCATAATGAATTAGCTTTTCAATCTTATATAATCATATATGTATAGAGTATATTTTAATAAAGACTATATCAGATATATTAAAATGTTTTACATAAATAATAAAAGTACGCAATGGGCACTAGCTTTGTCAGTCCACTGCAAAAACTGGTACGTACACAATTAGAGTATGAATGAGGTTGTGTCCGGGTGTCGGAGGAACCCCGGGGAGTCCTCTCTAGTTTAGGTCGCGCCCGGACATTGAGAATGAGAACCGTGGAGTGTTTGTTTGAGAGACTGAGTTTTGCATTTTTTTAAATATAGGGTTAGGTAGGTAGGTAACTTATTCTCTGGTGTGTGTGTTTAAACCTAAGTAGGTAGGGTCAGGGCAGGACTGTCCACATTAGTAATTCGGGTAGGCGCGTTTTCGCGTGGCAGTTCTGTTCCTGTAGTTACGATTTCGAGAGTAGAAATGTTGCTGATTCAAACGGTGCACTTGTGCTGTTTGTGTCGGCTTTATTTTCGACTCCTCGAATCGCGCGACTCTTAAAGTCGCTCTCTCGCGCTCGCGGTCGTGATCAGGTCCCTTTCGAAACGTTCGTCCCGCTCGAGATTCACCACGTATGCTCTTGCAACAATTCGTATATTGTTGGAAGACTACGTATTGCACAAAATCTCGAGCCCGGTCTTTCGTAAGTTTCAGGCATCGGCAGGACCGCCGAAGAAAGAAAAGGCTCTCGATGAGCCGAAGAGGCCCTGACAAACTGTCTCAAGAGTAGGCTGCAACAAATGGCTTTTTATCTTCATCTTCGGATGAGAAT